GCTTTGTCAGACAGCTCGAAGTGTAAGGTACGATCGTAAGCCTACTACTGCTACTTTTTTACAATTAATGCAGAGGTGTGTGATAGAAATGGTGATAGGCAGAAAGAACCAAAGCAGATTTACACGCTATAAACTAAATTCTCACATAATATAGTCGGTGTGACTAAGCATCTCAGTTTATGCACGGCGAGGAAGGTCCTGTTAAAGATGGAAAAGTTCAAGGCAATTCGCTCTACATCGGGTACCTCCGCTAGTAGTATATAAAGAAATGTTCAATATATTTGTGTGGAGAATTGAATGAGGTCTGAATCTTTTTTTAAAAGATTGAGACTTGTTGGTCAATCTTGACCGTGATATTGAGAAAATATTGAATGAGATAGGACTTCTGCCACAGAAGTTCTGGGCCACCTTTTATATAGCGTATTTTTAATATTTACTTTTCATCTTCGTTTTTAAGGTTTCGAACAGTCTAATTCATCATCAGAAAAATGTACAAAGAGCTATAAAGAGAGATGTTATTTATACATGAAACTTATACGTATAAACGAACATATGAAATAGTCCGTCTGGCGGTAGTTAAACTAAAAGGAACACACGATGATACTAACAGACAAGGAAAAGAAATAACAGAATAAAAGTAAATTGTAAAAAGGACTAGAGAATGAGATTTCATTTTTATTTAGTTGTTTGACTGACACAACTTTCTGGGTGTATCTCTAATGCTTCTCGAGCCACGTTTAGAATTTACTTTTATTCTGTTATTTCTTTTTCTTCTCTATTAGTATTCTAGAATCGTCTTCAACAAAACAAAAACAACTTGTCGTTTACCGATTTTTCCTCGCTTCAAGCCATCCAAAATTTTTCCGAGTCCAGACCAGTTCATAGTCTTGAAAGTTTGAGTTCAGTCCACATGGACTGGACGAAGACTAAGACTAAGACATGGACTCAGTGCAGTCCATACGGAGCTCTGCTATGAACCAGCATTTTTTACTTTGGCAGTTAATGAAATGCAATTTTTTTGTCAAGAAAACCGGAGGACTAATAGAAGCTCTGCTTTACAGCGCTGTCTTATGTTCTGTGCAAATGCTTAAGTTCATCCACGGTACATATACCGTATTTTCCCTAATGCAATTGAGTCAGTCGTCAACAAAAAAGCTCAAATGTACACATTTCTTAAACCAGTCGAAGACGTGCGCAGCTTCCACGTTGATACAAAACCGTTGGCTTAGTTTTAACAAGATCTTAAATATTCTCACAAGGTTATAGTGCATTCACATCTTGTCAATGAAACGTCCTCTAGTCACCGGAGCAACTAGTTCATTCGTGGGTGACTTTTCTCTGATGACAAACTCTGCTACCTCGTCTTCTAGGATCCTGATATTCCTCAAACCTTGTTTATAATAACTCTGAAAGAATTCTCATACAAATATCTTATGACAGGAAATTCTTTCAGTTATTCAGCCCTCTTTTGAGATTTGTTCTAGCTATTATAGTTGAGCAGAAGGATCACAAATAAAAGCGTACAGTCATTTTTTCCACTCACTGTAGATGTCGTTTTTCTTCTTATTCTGTTATATAACTGATGATGACTCTAGTCTAAACTGAAAACTTCTAGATTATTAAATAAAGTAATGAATTTAGTTGAGTTCTATGGACATGTATTATTTAAATAAAATAATCAAGAATAGACTCAGGATAGAAAAAATACAAGTTGCAAACGACGCGCACCGTATTTCTGCGATTCGAAATCATTCAACATCCAAGTTTATAATTCTCGGACTAATTGAGCACCGAGAATGCTTTGTTTATATTAGCTATTAAATGTCGTGATTGCTTTAAGTTTGCGCATTAATTTTGTTGATCATGTCTTTTCTAATAAGAGCCATCGGGTCATTGCCAAATACCTTAAAAAGTTCCATTTCAGATTTCGAAGATTGTTTCAACTGAATATTATAATACTCATTAGGATCTGATAAGATTTTCGATTTCTTTTAATTTAAGAATTCCTCTATAAGAAAAAGTTGTATAGCGGTATCTGTTCAAATCAATCTGAAATAAAGCTTTTTTAATTAAATCGCTTGGTGTTTCTGAAATAACAACGTAAATCTCTCAAAACTTTACTAAAAAATAAAAAAATTGTTTCTTATGAATAGTGCTACGTCAGTTTAAATTGCTAGATTTTGTGTGTGTCTGCATTATACTGTACAACTACACCAAGTCCATTTTTTTACTTCATGTAAGCAATCTTGAGACTTTATACATTAAACATTTTGGACCATGTGTGTAATACCATTTACACGCAAAAATGATTATTTTTGAATTTTTCATTTTATGCAATACTCGTTTTGAGACAATTTCTTTTTGTGTTAGTTGCAATTGTTTAACGTTTTTGAACGTATGAAATTTACGTCCAAAAGCATTATATGCTTTATATGTTGAATAAAGATTAAGTAGTCATCAACTTTCGTTATGAGTGATATTCGTTTTTTTTATTAAAGAAAAGATTAAGCAGTAGGAATGTAATGAAAACTTTTAGCATATTATTTAATAACAAATAGTTTAGAAAAGAACCTTTCACATAACAGAGTCAATACAAAGTAGTCTTTTACTTGACGTCATAGTTTAGAACGTTCACGCGTTAATTTGTAAATTATTTTCTAGTAATCATGTATCCCAATACTCCGATTGTAATGACAAGACTCATCCAAGCAAGTCTTTGTGATGTAAAAATTTCATTCTGTTCAACACCTGAATATCAAAATATTCTTATTATACTTTCATTACTGCCGCACATTTTTCTAATATTTTTACCTTTATTAACTGGCTGTTTTGGAGGTTCAATACGCTCAAAACTTTTGATAACAGCTTTTTTCCATTGAGCAAAATTATCATCACGTACTAAGGAAAAGGGATTATTCATTACAGAACTACTCATTTTCAACAAAATGATATCCTTACCAGAACCTGTAATTCGCGGTACATAGGTTTCCATTGTTATTGGGAACTTGTGTTCATCATCTAATGTAAATATATCGATACCTTTCGCTTTTCCAGCGCCTAATGCAGCTCCCAAGGCTGTTGTTTCACGCAAACTCGGAACAGCTTTGATACAAAAGAAGAGTATGAATAAAAAAAGTGATGAAATTAATACATAACAAACCTATAGGTATTCCCACTATATTTGCTAGCATTTGTAAAAATAACTGATTTTCAGCCATACCGCCGTCAACCTGCATTCGAGCGAGTCTTACATGACTGTCATCATACATTGCATCGACCACCTACAAGTGAAAACAAAAGAAAAGACACTAGATGGCATGTATTTATTAACTAAGCATAAAATATCGAACCTCGCGTGTTTGATAAGAAATACCTTCAAGTGCAGCACGAATGATATGGGCTTTAGTTGTGTATTGCGTAATTCCACAAATAACTCTAGAAACGAGAAAGAACACAAAACAATATTAGAATATTTGTTAGATCTATGAACACATCTTCTGTCGTACCCTCTGGCATCACTTCTCCAATAAGGCGCGAAGAGACCACTGAAAGCTGGTACGAAATAAACACCTCCCGCATCTTCAACCGATGTTGCTATTTTTTCTGTTTTTTGCGATTAAAATAAAAGAAGATCATGTAAATATAGAATATAACGAACTTTTAGTGACTTTCTTACCGGTACTTTTAGCATCCGGTATAATTTCCAAATTATCTCGTAACCATTTGATACACTGGCCGGCAATTGCAATACTACCCTAGAATAAAAACACGTATACATAACTTAAAATATCTAATTTTGTTACTTTAAACCACTTACTCACTTCAAGAGCATAAACCGGATCTTCATCATTCCATTTGTAAGCAACTGTTGTTAGAAGACCATTTCGAGAATAAGCTATTTTTAATATAATATGTAAATATATTTTATACGTTAAAAGAAAGAATATCGCATACCAATATCTTCACCAGTATTGTACAATATAAAACAACCAGTACCATATCTAAAATATGAAAAAGAAGTGAACGGTGTTTTAATTTTACAGCAATGCTAAGTTGATACAGACGTGCTTTTTGCAGATCCTTTTGTCCAACACTTTTGACCGACTAAAGCAGCTTGCTGATCTCCAAGTACCTGTGATAACAAATTTTAAGATCTTGTATTGTGATCGTATTCATATTTGATACATACTGCACTTATAGGTATCCCTTTTAATGCTCCCTCAGAAATATAACCAAATATTCCAGATGAAGATTTTATTGTTGGTAAAATGTGTTCTGGTATTCCAAACCAACTAAAAATGAAGTAATCATAATTGTAACAATGCAATCATTATTAAAAAATGGATTGTACTAAATACTTGCAAAGATAAGAATCCCATGTGAGCTTACGAATATTCATTAACATTGTTCGACTAGCATTTGTAACATCTGTTACATGAACATGCTCATGATCATTCAATATCAAATTCTATAAACGACGAATCTATTATAATCGTATTTTTCAGGTAAGTATATATTGCACATTTACCCATAAAAGCCATGTATCAACGGTACCAAATAAACAACGTTTCTGTTCAATGGCTTTTTGAACATTCGGAACATTATCAATTAACCAACGAATTTTAAGTGCACTAAAATAAGTTGATATTGGTAGACCACAAGCATCCTAGTATAAGTCAAAACAGATAATTATTTTCATATTAATTGTGTTATGTTGATAAAATACACCTGTAAACAGTCCTTGTCCTTTCCGGATTGTTCGAGAAGAAAATCGACAGTTTCTTGAGTACGAGCATCTAACCATACTAAACAAGAAAAGTTAACACGTGTTTAGTACAATTCGTGAATAGAAAAAAAACACGATTTACCAAGAGCGTTATGTAACGGTTTTCCAGAATTTTTATCCCACAAAATGGTTGTTTCTCGTTGATTCGTTACTCCAATAGCTAGAGAGAAAAAATTTATTATTTTAATCAAGTGTATATAATGAAATTAATACCTTTAATATTTTCTGCTTTATAACCCAGATTTATCAATTTTTCAACTGCCTTTTCAATGCCTATTTACCAAAGAATGAAAGAAAAATAATAAGCAACAAGACGTGACAAAACCAAATGAAAAATAACTTACATAGTTTGGTTGTCTCCAATATTTCAATGGGATCTTGTTCCACCCATCTAAATAAAATAAAAGAAATAAATCTCAAAAAGAAAATTAATGAGAAGGCTCAAGACTGACTATAAAGTATCAAAAAAACCTAAATTCTTTAAATACTCGTTAAGCTGATAATTACTACCAGCCTAATACAAAGTATTCTAGTTTCTTAGCTATATAGTAGCTATAGCTCTATCGCTGAAACAATTTTACGCACCCAGGTTTTGGAGATATCGAAGATAATGTTTCTTGATGATATGTTACTAATTCAAGATTTTCTGAATTGAATATCTTATGATAAAAACCACACAGAACAATTTCAAAAATGAAGGGATTTTGAACAATAGATACATACCAAGAATCTACTACTCGACGTCCCTTGGTCAATGGCACCAAGAAACGCATGGCTGGAAGATTTATTTGACGATGACATAGATATTTCTGTTACCAGAATCGATTAAAAGAACACAAATAAAAATAACTAAAAGGTAAATCATATAAAAAACAAATAAATAACTACAAGAATAAATATGCAACTTTTATCGAGCAACTAAAGGAGAAACAAACAGGCGAATGCGTGATAATTTTCTGAATTCAGCAGATGCAATTGATCTAATTATTTTTCATTTTAGTATTTTCTCAATTAAATTTTGATAAAAAATGTTCATTTTCATTTCACTTTTTCTTGTCAGATGTTTAGACCGCTATTCTGCCTCGTCTGTGTCTACTCCGAAGAAGAACAAAACTGGATATCTCGTCTTGCGGCTACCGTTACCGTAGGGTATTGACAATGTCAGTTTCAATAGTCCGGTATCTTCCTTGCAGTTGACAAGCTTCTGAGATGGTCATCTACTCGCTACCAGTCATCACCTGCAACTCTGATCAGAAGTCTAGCCTGGCACAAAGTTCTTTTTCGCCCAGTTGATTGAGTGCCCATACACACGCACTAACCACGTACTAGGCGTCCGGAAAGCTACGAAAACTAACTATGTTGTACGTCACAACGTAATAAATGTGTTATTGGACAGATAATTCGGCACACCGAGGCGTAAGTACCTTGCCAAATTTATTAAATAACCTGTCGGCACTGAGAAAAGGGAACTGATGCTCACAGAGAGAAACCTTTTAGCCTTACGTAAAACCTGTTCTGCTCATTTATGAACAATCTTTTCTTTTGCTTCAGTAGAGATTGATTCGAACTTCAAAAAATCCTGGTTGCACTACTGCGCGACTTATTTATTAGACGATAACAACAGTCTCAGTATATAGAACAAAAAAAGTATGACTTTTCTCCTCTTTTGATATTTGATACAGATAGACAAATAAAACATATATCTGTCAAGCTTCGAATAATTAATATCGTACCTGGAGAAAAGAAAGGCCAACGCTACGACAACAAAACTTGGTTTTATTATACAATAGTATTGTTCTTATGCAAGGTGCCATTCAACAGATTTTGAACCTCTTACAATTATTTGTTTTAACAAGACTGAGGTACATTATCCGCGGGACGAAGAGAAAACAACGCAGCAAATATCATCGTAGAGCTCTTACAACTTTTTTAGAACACCATAATGTATTTCAAAGTCAGCTTTCTTGTTTCTGTCGCGTCGCGAGTCGCGATAAGAAATTGTTGTATACGTACCTATGAACTATTTATTTGATTAAATAATAAATGGGAAATAAATGGTAATATAGACTGTATAAAAAACGCAAGTAAAAGTAAAGTAAATTAAATCCTACGATAAACAGAATATGGAATGATTTGTTTGGGTATCGACAATCATGTGTCAATATGTTAAAAGGACAACAAGAAAGTTAACCACTACAACGTGCATGTGTAATATGGACTATATGTCTACACAGAAACACGTGTTCTTATTTCTTTTCTCTCGCTACAGAAAGAAAAGAACAGATTAATTAAAAACAAATAATTAAAAATATTGAATTAAAACGACGAAATTCATCCATTTTTTTTCCACAATCAATTTTAATATTTTGTTTTACCTGCTTATTAATTTAATCAAAAACACGACTCACGTCATGACTTTCAAAGATTCTTACTTTTTAATCACGAATTCATGATTCGTGAATTCGTGAAAATGCCAAATTCTTGCTTGAATAAGAAATGTCTGAATCGTGTCACGAATCTTCTTTAAGAATCCCGCTATGAGCGTCAGAGATAAGCGCGATCAAGTCATGACTTAAAAAGTTCTTGTTAAAAACTGTCATGTTGCAAGTCACGATAGTGAGTCATGCTGCGGATTTTATGATTCTCGCGCGATCGATGAAATTTTAAATTATAAATTGACAACCAAAAGAAGTTTTTACTATTGACACTTATTCTCTTAAAAATTTACAATAATAGGATGTTGAACAATACATGATGATTATAGATCAATAATTTTGTTTAATTACGCTTTGTCATTGCTCCATTCTATTGAGTTTATCATCTTCACAATTGAACAATATATGATATATTTGTGTAAAAAACAGGGAAGGGTGGCATATGAGTGTGTTCTCATCTGAGTGCTTGTTCCATTACACCACTCATTCCTGAAAATATTTTCAAAAAATTTTGATTATATATTCTCTATGCATTTTTCAAATTTTGTGGATTCGAAAGTGTCTGGACCAAATTAACCTGTACGTTGATTCAGACATAATGATTTAGAAAACCTGTGAACGTAGACATGTCACATGTGTTTACTCTCCTTTTGTTTGAAATTCAAATACGGCACATGTACATGTATCTGTAAACGAAGGACTATTCTTTTGATATGCGTTCAACAGAACTCGTATAGTAGTTACCGTCTCTTTTTACACCGTCTAATCTTTTGTTTTGAGTCAAGAAATATGGCTATAGTTGAAATATCCGAAACATTCGTAGTAAACCAGCAGCTCAATTCCTAGGATATAGTTATAGAACTGAGCGCCATCAAAAAGAATCGATCTCATAGAAATGTCGAGAATATGGTTGTCCTGATCGTCTTAACACTCTTGAAGATTATGCAAAACCAGACTTGGGTGAGAAATTCTTATAATTATGACAAAGAAGCTTAAATGTGTAAAACGCACTGCTTCGTAAAGAAATCCCATATTCGCATGGCTCAGATCCAGAAAAACTTCCTGTTCAAAAAATTGTTGCTGATATGAAAAAAAGATGCCAGAATTAACTTCCGTACGCTGCTTTTCAAGCCTCTAGTCTAGCTCTACCCTGATTCAAAAATAGCAGCTGCACTACCGAGTTTTGAAAGTCTCTGATCAGATATTATATCGACATAAAGGGAATAAAAATGAACCACTGACACCAATATCGTCACGAAATCTTGTTATTCCAGATAAATACGGAAAATTGTCCACAGAAGAAAACTTCTTACAAGTTCAAAATTCAGGTGAGATAACCTTTCGATCTCAACCACACACTATATCGTAATCTTCAACATATCGGTTTGCAACAAGAGTATGTTAATGATGAAGCTGTTCGAAGGTATTGTAAGCTAAAGTATTTTTGAAATTAAAATGAAAGATTACTAACCACTAAGAATTAGTAACAAATAGCGGTGATAGAAACAGTTCAAAAGTTTCATAATATTTTCAAGAATGAGTGGTGTAATTGAAAACACACTAAAATAAAGTGCACTCAGATGAGAACGTAGTCAAATGAGACACATTCAAGTAAAGCCCCACAGCAAAACAGTCATTATTATTTTTCTTGAAAAATCCACAAGATTCTAAAGTCAGCCTCAAAACATATATTTTGAATCCACACAATTTTATAGTTAGAAAACACTAAAATTTAACTCCAATAAGTAAATAAAATACAAAATTGAGATTCTTTAACAATAACAAAAAAATATTTATTTCAAATATTTCACTATTCATATTATCAAAAAAGAGATCTATGTTATCACATTATTATCATAACTGAAAGACAAAACATTATACAAAAATGTGGCATGTCAGATCAAATTGATTTACATAAATTTGATCTTAAACTAGAAAGGAATGAGACACAAAAAATGAAAACGTAACAGTATTTGGCGACAAAAGTTTTACAATACATTCGACGCACTATGTGTCAACAACGACTGAAAGACAAAAAAAAAGAAACGAACATTGCACCGAAAAAAATAACATATAAAAAGCGGATAATCTTTTTACAGATTCTAAATTACGTTGTTGAAATCTCTGTACGAGGGCAACGACTTTCGAGTCAAAAATATGATAATATTTGCAGCTGTTTTGAACTTCATACCTTTATTTGTTGATATTTCGACCTTTAACCGGTCATTTTCAAAAACATAAACAGAATAACTGTACAAATGATGAAAAACGTTGTTGAAGTTGTAAAAACAATAACATTCTAATTTACAATAAAAAAAATGCAAGGTAGGCAGTGCTAGCCAGACTCTTAAAATTTCCGTTCAAATAACAGCTTCAATAGAATAGAACGATGCAATATAAATTTTTGATTGAGCAGATAAATATCCTAATTTATATAAAGTTTCTAAGTTGATCAGACAAAAGCATCGACGGTATATTTCAATCGTCCAAGTCGATAATGTTGAATTGAAAAGATAAAAAATTCGTAACGAACGACATATAAGTTAATAAACAGTTCATAAAGTTTTTATATTTTTTTCTTTTGTTTTTCTACTTTGTTTTCTGGCTGCTCGTTTAAACTTTTCAACCACTTTAGTGCTTCAAACGAGCGTTCATAACTAATTTCATGTTCACCATAGATTGTATTTAAAAAATCTGGAAGTGTATCATTAAACGTAAATAATCTGTCTAGTATAAGTTTCTGCTTTGTTTCATAAAGAAAACGTTGCCATGTTTTAACACGTCTTGGATTATGAATCATATACCCATCATCATCTAACCATTTATTTTGTTGTAATTTATAGTATAAATAATTTGATACTTCTAGAGGTATCGACGGTATACGGTTATGAAATGTGGATGTTCGTACTACAATTGGTTCTACAGGAAACATTTTATACGGAATATTTTGACTTTTAAATGTTTGTGTTGACATTTGAATTCGTTCTTCTGATGCAAATTCAATATCTCTTAACATATGAATAAAAGCAGTTGGTGGATAATTATTACTTCTGATGAGAAACATCACTTGTGGGTGAATAATACTAATAAACAATATTTGACCGGAGACTTTATAACGATCATTGAGAACAAATAAACTGCTAAACATACCACCAGATGATGCGCCAAATGTGTATCGAGGAAGTCGAGCTAAAAATAGAGAGTAACACTATTTTCATTATATTGTTCTACTCAATAAAAAATATTACCTAAATCACCATGTTCTTTATAAAACTCCTCTAATCCCTTTAGTACCATTTGAACATCATCATTATCAAATAAATCACCTGTACTAGACCAACAACGACTATGTGTATCTGTTGCTTGAAATGCTAGACAACCATATCCTAAATCTACAGCAGCACCCACTATTCGTTGCCTTTCTTCGGTGTGAAACCAATTTAAAGCTGTCCGGCTACAACCATGAAAAATTAATAATAATGCCGATGGTTTCTTTAACCTTGGCAAACGATAGAGTATAGTAATGCCATTACTATATGTTCGACTTGAATAATTCAATGTTGATCGATCAAGAAAATTGAAGTCATTATATTTTATTCGTTGATCAAAAGTAATTGATTGAACTTTGCCTGGATAAAATTTAGGTGAATAATTTTTTTTTACAGTCTCATTTTCCTCATCATCCGGGAGTATAAGTTTAAAATAATAGTATATCCAGTTGGAATTTAAATAAACAACATAAGTAAATAACAAACAGGACAAGAAAAGCAAACAAGTACAAATTAAAAAATTACGAAGTGTTCTCATTTGCAGAAAAGACCAAAATGAATTATGTCTCATTCGATAGCGTGCCATCAGTGTTAACAATAAATTTGTTGTTGCTGTGTTATCGCTAGCTGGCATAAGCACGCGGAAAGATTACTCTTTCAAACTATCAAACTATATTATATGTAAAAGATCATTATAATCAAAACTAATGAGTAAGTAATCGATAGACTCTAGAACTCAAAATAGTGTCACCCATCGTCTATGCGACTGTGATTCACTTGAAATCCAACGAATAAGCTGTTAGAATTTCGATACAAATATTTCAAAATAGTCTTCTATTTTTGACTCATTTTGTTTTTATTTCGGGTATTTTCGTTAGGGATGACATTTTGTTCTCTGTTAATTATTCAAGGAGGTTAAAATTGAGAAATTCATTGGTTAGAGCGTTGTATTTGAGTTCATCCATGCTATATCTCTCATTTTTTTTTTTTGTTTTCTATATACTTTCTTTTTTTCTATTCAAAACATCTCGCATCATGTTTTTTTTATGCTTGTTATTTATTTTTACCTGCATTTTGCCGAACTATAGACTATTCATTTTGTCATAATACTTTATGATATTTGTATCTATTCGACTCATTGTACTCCCCCCTATCATATATGACCTTTACTTTCTTTTGTGATTTATAACATAAAAGAATTGTTTCTTCTCGTTACATATTTGCCTACGTATTATAATCTCTGAGTGACTCTGTTTGTCACTGGAAAGCATGTATTATCACAAATAGTAGCAATCAATAGGTTTCGTCTGGGAAAAATATCCTTGGATATATCGTTCGATAACAGTTCATTGAATTGTGAAAGAAGTGTCAATATAGAAATAAGCGCAAGACCGTTTCTTAATTAAAACTATAATTTGAATAAATGAATGAATGTGTTTTACACAAACACATAGCTATTTGTGTAAAAATTATTGTTATCGATAATAAAGAATGATGATTAGAAAAGACCGAGGTTATGCATATTAGACAAAAAATATTTCATTTTTTCTTTATGCCATGATATGTTCGAAGTGATAGTATGACATTACAATTTTTTTCAAATTGAGATGAATTTACTAAACATCAAAGCATCGTTTCGAAAGTTATTTGCATTTGAAAAACACTTATCTAAGACAATGTGAAACAGACTTTTATTCACTTTTAGATGTTATAACATAGAATAATGGCTGGATTTTTTAGAACAACTGCGCCTACGCCTCTTCAACAGGCAATAGAAAAAGCAACTGATCCAACAAGTCCCACTGAAGATTGGGGATTGATTATGAAAATATGTGATTATGTTAACCAACATGAAGACAGGTATCTATGTTTGTGTAACAAAACCATACATATTTTCATTTATGTTTATTGTTGATTTCAGTGCTAAAGAAGCAATGAAAACTATTCGAAAACGTTTACAAGGCGGGGCATCGAATGGTTGGAGATCAATTTCATTAACATTAACAGTATGTTGTCTGAAAAAATTATTTATAATAAAATCAGACCAACGGGCGACCATCACCCAATAATTGAAAGTTTTCGTTTTTTTCCAGCAACAACCTCGTTTTCTCCTAGTGTTCTAGTCTACACTTTTATTTCCTTCACACCAACCCCCACCCAAAGTTGACCTGGTCGTGGCTGCTCTGAATAAAATATGTTTATAAAATATCCGCATTTTTATGTTTAGCTACTTGAATCGTTAACAAAGAATTGCGGTAAACAATTTCATCAACAAATTGCTAGTAAGGATTTTCTAAAAGAATTAAAAAATGTTATCGGGCCGAAAAACAATCCACCACTGCCTGTTCAAGAAAAAGTACTTGGCATGATTCAGGTAAAACATACAAACCGTTTTACTTTGATCACATTGTTTATACTAAACATGAACTCCATTAGACGTGGGCAATGGCGATGCGTCATGATCCAGATTTGAAGATTGTTGATCAATTTTATCTCGAATGTAAGCAACAAGGTCTCGAATTTCCAGCTGCAGAAAATGAAAGCACAGTTAAAAACGTCATCTCTCCAACGGTAACTTCTTGTTTTTTCGTAGAGAAATGAACTATAATAATGCGTTTATCTAAATTTTAGGGTACACTTGACCGTTCATCGCAGGTGTCGAGAACAATGGTAAAATTCTTTTATTATTGTTGCTAGTTAAACCTTTCTAAGTATTTTTGGCTCTCTTTAGTCCCAACCTAACACAAGCAGTACATTAAATAAATCTGTAAGATTACTATTTGTTCTACAACATTATATGTATTTCTAAGTGTTAATCTTTTTTAAATAGAATCATACTGGTGTTGAGAGACAACCATTTCTTTCATCTCCTCCTCCTCATCAACAACAGCTTGTTCCTGGCGGTCAAACTGGTGGAGGAAATATCCGAACGTTAACAGCTGAACAAATAGCTAAACTACGTAGTGAGCTTGATGTTGTTCAAACAAATGTTCAAGTATTTGGTGAAATGCTTGTAACATTGATACCTGGTGAAGAAAATGAGCAAGATTTTGAATTATTATCAGTAAGCGGAGATCAATTCTAGAAACTTTTTCACACTATTGTAATTTATTTCAAGGATCTTTACAAAACATGTACACAAATGCAAGCAAGAGTTATTGATTTGCTTAGTCAAGTGGCAATCGGTGATATAACAGGTATCGATCGAAAGAAACGTTAATAGTTAGAAATTTATGATTATTTTCTTTCAAGCTGATCTTCTACGATACAATGATGAACTAAATAATACATTCAAGAATTATGAAAGTTATATGGAACAACGTGAAAAAGTAGTTGGTCCTCGATCACATTCACAACATTATCCAAATATTCCATCATCTCAGGCAACAGCTTCTTCTAACCGCTATCCTTCACAAACACAACAACAGCAGCAATTACTCTCAAAGAAAGTAAGTAACTGAGTAACATTCTTGTGAACTAAAAGCAAATCTGTTTGCCTTTTCTGTTTCAGTTACCAACCACAAGTGCTAGCGATGATCAACCTGCATTGATCAAATTCGATGATGAAATAACACCTGGTGCACCACATTCTTCAACACAGTTAGCAACAGGTTTCCAAAATATGCGTGAGTATAAGTTTTTATCCGATTATTTACACTGTCTTATTTTAATGTTCTGGTGTTTAGGTCTCAATCAACCTTCAGATACTGTACCAAAACCTTTCAACTCAACGTAAGTTTGACGGCCAATTAGGGAAATATTAAAGCTTTATGTTCTTATTCTATTTCTCGAAGAAGAGAAATAAATTTTCATTCGTAAGAGAAAACTTTTTATGGCTACTGTATGTGTTTATCAACGTAAAACTGAATTTCATTTTTTTGCTGGAACAAATTATTTTCTATATTGTGCTTCAGTTACTATATTTCATTTCGTTTTTTTGCTATTTAATTTCTGATGAACTTTAGTGCTTCTCATTCGTCTGCACATCAAAACGCCGGCGGAATTGGAGAACCTCAGGTTTGTTTACTTACATTTTCATCATTAAAATACTATATAATTTGTTAATAGGATTATTAAAGAAATTCTTTTATTATTAGGTGCCTGAACGAGATATAAAAGAAATAGAAGTTTGGCTGAAGACACAAGGTGATAAGGTAAGAGTAGTTTGGATACCATTTCTTCTTGGTTGCTATTTCTTATCAATTTTTTTTGAAGGAAAGCGACAATGAAGAACAAGCAACTGAATCTGGAACAACGCCAGCGTTTGAAAATTTTCTTCGTAAACGTGCATCATCTATCCCGGAAAATACAAATGAATCTCACGTTATTCATCCAACACCCGCAAGTCCAAAAAAGACAGTTGCGTTTAATGACCCAAATAGCAGTAGTCAACTGTGAATGAAGTTAAAAATAATGAATAATTTTTTGATTTATTTTTTTTTGTCTTTCGTTTAGTATGCACGTGTAAATAGAGTTCATCTTTCATCTTCGCCCAAAATAAGCGTCTACTCTTCTTGCCAAAATTTTGAACTAGATGGAAAAATTCTGATTTTTTTTTTCTTCTCTTGTTATGAAAAATCTGCCTATTATGTACAGTTATTATTAACACAAGCACAATATGTTTATAACAGTGGCACATGTTTTTATTTGAACTTTCTTTTATTAATTCTTTAACTTTATTGTTATTAACACTTTTTGGGTTTTTTTTTGTGGTTGATAATTAAGATTTTATCGTGCGTATATGTATGATTTTAGGAAACCCCTTATGAATTGATTGAAAACGAAAATTTCAAAAGTAAACCAAGCTCGGCTTATTCTGTGCTTTTCCTTTGCTTAATTGTTCTGTCCTACTTACGTTATAAAGGAAAAAAAGAAAACGTTTTCTTATTGTTGTTCTGTAAATGTGTCTTTTTTTGTTTTTTAAAAAGTGATAAACACTGTTCATTGTCTTTTTTTATCCGAATAATCTTGATTGGATCGTATCGTAAATCATATTATATACATGTGATGACTGTAGTTGATTGGTCCTTAGTAGAAAAGGGTTAAAGTTGTACAATTACAAAGTTGGTCATAAATATCCATAGACTCTCTGAATAAAATTTGTTATGATCTTCGCCTTTCATCAAAATTATGTAAATTTGCTCTAGTACAGATGATGTATGGATATTTGTGATTCACACTGTATATACTTCTTCACTTCGTAAATTATGTCAACTAAAGTTGGTGTAGATAAGTGGATATGCACTAAATTTTTTTAAAACATGTTTTTATTTTGCTCCTTCGTTTCACTTTACAACGTTATCTGAATGTAAGAAACAGTCAAAAGTGGTTTTACAAAACATACTTTCTAGAAATAAAATACGCCTATCCTTCATATGATTTTCTCTTCGAATTATGTAGAAAAACTATTACTATGCACATCAGTGTTAATCTGACATCAATATAATTAAAAATAACACGTTATCTAAAAAAATGTCAATAATTTGTTATAAATTAAATTACTTTACTTCAAGTATGGACAGCAAAAAGTTATATAACTATTTTTTGATAAATTATTTTTCTAGTTAAAATTATGACTTAGTTCAATATATGGTATTTTTATGCGTAATATTAATACAAATTTTTTTCTTAAATTTTTCTTTGTTTGCTTTCTATTCAGTTTATCAGTTTGACATTTTCTTGATAAAAAGTTGTGCTCGTGATTCGTTTTATAAAAGTGAAAATAGGTGCGGTACATTGAGTTATTATATTCTACTTTTTCGATTGAGAAAGCGTTGATCTATCTTTCATTCGTGCATCAGTGACCGAAATGAGTTGAGGTTATTAAACATGTATATATATTTTTCACGCTTCAATGGGATACTAAAGGAGAGTTCATGTTCCACTACTTGTAAAGATATAGACATCACATCAAACATTATTTTAATCTTTTATTGGTCTAGTTGTTGTTAAGACTAGAGTATGGTATACAAAGTAATACTAGGATTATTAAGCTTCTTTTCAAGTTCGAGTCAAAAACAGGTATCGATTGAATGAATTTCGACTTTGTTAGTCAAAATAGGTGGATTGGGGTTGCACTCAAAAACGTTGGATGCATATGAGTCTGACTCAATTCGGCTTCTTATCCCTATATTGTTCTGCTTCGTTGTGGTGCATCCTTTTAACGCTATACTGTAGAAAGATAATTAAATATTCTTAAGCTGAAATGACACTTAGCAATTGTTCAGTACTATTTTACATTTTCTTATTACTGAAAGCAAGTGGACTTCCTTTATTGAGGTAGAACAATTGCTCTAACAACTCATTTCTAGAGGCACGTTCCCGCTATCAAAAAAAATGGTGAATATATATCATGATAAAGATGCTGATATCTCTCTGGTACAAAACAAAACAGTCTCTTTTATTGGTTATGGAAACCAAGGACGTGCACAAGCCCTGAATTTACGTGATAGCGGTGTGAAAAACATAATTATCGGTAATCAGCAAGATGATTATGCTGAACAAGCTCGTAAAGACGGTTTTGAAAATGTTGTAACCATCACAGAAGCTGTTGCACAAGGTGATATTTTAATGTTATTAATTCCTGATGAAGATCAACAAACTGTTTGGAATGAACAAATACGATCATGTATAAAACCAAATACGACTTTAGTTGTTGCTTCTGGTTATAATGTTGCATTTAACCTACTCGATATTCCAGAAGATATGGACGTCGTGATGGTTGCACCACGAATGATTGGAGCAGGTGTAAGAGATCGTTATGTCAAAAAGATTCCATATCCATGTTTTGTTTCTGTTGAAAAAGATTCATCTGGTCAAGCTTTAAAGACATGTTTATCAATTGCTTCCGCCATTGGAGCAACGAGAGGTAATGGTGCTGTAGAATCATCATGTCGTGAAGAAGCTGGCATTGATTTATTCGCTGAGCAAGCAATATGGCCTGAAATCATGGTAATTATGCGTGAAGCTTACAATGTTTTACATGAGGCTGGTTTTTCTGACGAAGCTATTCTATTTGACATGTATATGTCGAAAGAACCAGCTGAAATTTTTGAACGTGCTGCCACTGAAGGTATAGTCAAACAATTGAAATATCATTCACGAACATCACAATATGGTCAATTATCAACAATGAATAAAAATGATGGAAAACAAATACGTGAAAAATTCCAAAATATTTTACAAAAAAATATACTTTCCGGAAATTTTGCACAAAAATGGTCAAATCAAAAATGGGCTGCTGAAGAACTACCAAAAGAATGGAAAGTAGTCGAAGAAGCTCCAATTGTACAAGCAGAATTACGTGTTCAAAAACTAATGAAAGATTTTATTAAGAGTGAAGAGGAAGAACATCATTGAATTTTAGTTATGCATACGTAACGAAAAGACAATTTCATAAAGATTATACGATGTTTTTTTTATAGCGTATACAATATTTTTTTTATACTTCACATCTAATAACACAAATAAAACGTATAATTGTTAGAATTATTGAAATGGTTCTGCATGAAAATATCTTCATGATTCTTCTATCAGCGGTCTGATACTACTAATTTCTAGAGAAATAATGAATGTATCTACATTTATCTTTTAAAAACATGAAATTTGATCAGACAGAGAAAACTTGAATTTGTAAGTTAATTTCAAATATATCAAAATCTGATAATTTCTTTTTGTACAAACAACAGTATTATTATCATCATTCAACTGCACAATTTAGCAGTTATAACGTTCAATAATACGATCTTTTTACTTTTTTTATCTTGATTTTTTAGATGCTTCACGAGGAGAAGGAGCCAACTTATAAGACAGATGTGGTTCCAATAACGATTCTTGTTTCATTTATTATTACCATTTTGGTTACTGTTCTCCTATTATTTGGGTATGTTTCAATACTACAATTGATACAGCTGTTATTACTTGTAGTCTTATTTTTAATTTAGAAAATTTCATGTTTTACTTCTTCTAATAATAATATTTATCGGTTATAAATTAAATGCTTATTATGTGTAAGTTTTTCATCATATAAATTAACGATCACAGTGATATCTCTTCTTTCTTATATTAGATCATGGCTAAATAATCCTCAAAACGTATTGTCATGTTGGCCAAATTTAATGATTTTTCTTGATGCTAAACAGGTATTCATTCGTCCTCTATTATAAGAATATCTTATTGTTACAACTGAAATTTAAATCAATATGAATTATTATCAACTATTATTTGTATTTTTTAGAATATAAAAGAAGAATCAGAACTAAAACAAAGGTACGGGATAAAAATCAATAATTTTATACATTAATTTAAAACTTACCATTTTTTTTTAAAAATTTTGTAGATCCGAATGTCATTATCTTCAGAAAAATCCTTGGGTATCATTAATGGTATCAAAAAATATTGATAATGCCATTGAAGAGGTAGGTAATAAAATATCTATTATTTTACGTATTATTTTTCATAGAATAGTATTCTGTTTAGTTTTGTCGTCTTGTTCTTCGGGATCATGTTTATCCGTGGTATTTGTAAGTATCATCTAATAATTCACTAGTGCTCTCTATTGAATGTTTTACTGTTATTTTTTTTTTTTTTTTAGACAAATTACACACGATGATAGTCTTGTGTTAGAAGCAAAATATGTTTTTCGTTATTTACTAGCCACAGTTGTACGACGATTTAAAACCGTAAATAAAATTTTGTTAACTTAAATTTGAAAAAAAATATATATCAATATGTTTTATTTTAGGTTGATATTCATAATTTTGTTCTACGTCGTTTATTTCCACTATTATTACAAACATGTGAACGTTATATAAATGTTCGTAAACAACAAGCAAATGGCAATAGTGATCAAGAATCATCCTCACCATTGTTATTACAAAAAATATTTGGTAATGATTTACATCCAACAATGTATAATCGTAAAGCAGAATTAAATTATCTTAATAAATTATTTCTTGATTTAATGCCCATTATAACACCAAGATATATTTATGAATGTAAAGGAGCAAGACATTTTCTACGAGAATTAATTGTATGTCAAATACTTATTGATGGTGTTGATATATTTTGTGATCCAAAATTAATTAATCGTTTATTTTATTTGTATTTTGAAACAAAACGACGAGCCGCATTAACATTAATGAATGATTATAATACGCACACTGATCAACTTCCAAATAGTGATGAACAACAAAAAGAAAAAACAACATCTACAGTTTTTGTTGAATTATTGTCTCATTTTTGTTCCATGAATGGTCCTATTCATAAAAATCAAGTAAGTGAGACTTGATTAATTTTTTAATTATTTATACATTTATTTTATTTTAGTTATCATTAGAATTAACAGATGTTTTATATGAGAAAGAATTGATGAATCAATTTAGTCGAGTATTAGATCGTAGTTCATCAGTTGGTTTGCTAAGTATTTATCTAACATTGACCGATGTATTAAATGATATTCCATTAGCTTCGGATATAACAATAAGAAAAAACATAATTGATCGTTTAAAAAAGATTAGCGAAAAATATTTAAATCCAGAAAATAGTAACTTGTACATATTTATTACTACAATGAATAGTAGTGATACCGACCAACAACAAAATGGGAATGAGAAATTAATTAATGATATTAGAGAGTTACTTAATAACGATACATCAAATAGTACGAATACGTCTACATTTGATATTCCATACGCATTCACAGTATTATCTCGTTTTCACTGTAAAATTTATGAATTGTTAGAAGAAAAATATCAACAATGTTTTCTTAAAAGTGATGAACATTTCTTATATATTTGTGGAAAACGAATGGATTCACCAGATTATGCAATTTCAGATTACAATCAAAAGTAAGACAGTTATTATCTAGTAGTTGTTAAATTATGTATAGTTCTAACAAATGTGCAAGTTAGATGGAATAATAGTTTTTCTTTCATCTTTTTTCATTTCTAAAACAATAACGTTTATTATTGTACAATGAATTCTAGTATTGAACTGCAGGATGAAATAGACAGGTTTGACGAATGTAATTTTGTTTGTTTTTCTGGGCTTTTTAACACTATATGTAGATATACCAATTTGTGTTACTCGTTTCTTTGTAGTCTAGTCATTCTATCCTATCTGTTATTTTATATAGAAATGTGTGTGTGTATATATGCAGAGATCCTTTCTAGCTCTCCGATCTATTTACTTGTGAAAAATTTCCTTTTTTCACTGTCTTATTGTTGTTACTCTAAGTCATTATAATAATACAATCACTAAAATATTTGTTGCCATTTTTAGACAAATTGGTCAGAAAAGTCGAAAAGGCAGTATACAGAGAAGATATACAACCACATCTTATGCCGGTAAAGTTTTTCTTGTCGATGAAAAAAATTCTAATGTAATCAAAAACTCAACATTCATTTTAGATATGGAAGAAAAAGACGATCTACATTTAAAATGTCCAGAAGATACAGCCAGTATAGGAAGTAACGGTGTATGTATTCACTTTGATTTGATTGTTCTTCTAGATATCACTGATATGTATTTTGTTTTTTTGTTTAGTCATCTGAAGAAAGTATGTTTCGTGATTTGAGTTCATGGCGTGTGATGATTCCTCGGGCAGAAGAATGTCGAGATAACAGTACAAATCAAAGATATTGCGTATTAATTATCGACATACAACGTTTAGACATAAATCGTAGTATATCTTAAAACAAAAGATCATTTGAAGAAAATTGAACAATTTATTATGTTTAGGCGATGTGGCGTTAACGAATGACGATGAAAGATCTCATTGGGTTGTAGCAAGGTAAAAGCAATACATCTGAGTTTCGTCTGTTTTTTTTATATTTCTTTTTCTCATCTATTTCAGACGTTATCAAGATTTTTATTTATTAGAATCAAAATTAATTGAATTTCATGGAATATTTGATGATGCCCGTCTCCCTCCAAAACGTTCATTTACGACAAAAAATGTTGAATTTCTTGAAACGATTCGAAAAGATTTTGAACGATTTTTACGAGTAAATAAACATTTAATACATATTTGAAAAACATAAGAAAATATCTAGTCGAATTGATGAAATAAATTTTTTCTCAGTTTTATTCTTAACCGATTTATTTTGAGTTGATTATGTAACTTTTCTATTTAGCATCTATTGACAAAGCCAACGTTACGTAACAGCGAATTGTTACATACATTTCTCACACAACCTGATGAATTTAATCCTCCAAGTAGTGAATTAATCATATGTGAGTATTGATGAAAGAGTATGATGAATTAAAATTTAACACATATTTTGCTCTCATCGTTATTTTGCAATATATTATGTTGTATATTTTTTACTCTGTGTTTTAAGCTAAAATGTTCAAAGTTGTTCCAAGACGATTAAGAATTGAGGTAAATAAAATAGAAAAATATCAAAGAAAGTAACAAGTGTATAGTAGTAGCCAGGCGAGTCCGATCCTTAAAAATTCAAGCCGAGTCCCGAGTCCGATAATCTTATCGATTCTTTTTTGATGAGTGTGGTTTATTTCTCTTTTTTAATTTACTGAGCTTGGATAGATATTTGATTTTTCGAAAATAAGGTTACTTTGCATGTCCGTCTCGCGAACAAAATTTTAAATTTCTTGTAAAACAGAACGTGTAATTATTTCGCTTTCACATTTTTCTCTTCTCATTTGTGTTAAAAGTTGATTAGATCGGACTCGAAATATAAAAACTCAAGTTCGAGTCTGAGTCCAAGTCCGAGTCCGCCAAAAAATCTTCCAATTTGGACTCGAAGTCGCCCATGCCTGGTAGCAGCGAGGTAAACTTCTTGGAAGAAGGAAGAATATCTCGCCTTATGACTATCATTAACGGTGTAAGGTGTTAACAGTGTCAGTTTTAGTAGTTTAATAGCTTTTCTATACTTTGACAACCTCAACTTTTTATGAGGCATCTTGATTAGAAGACTGGTCTGGAATAGAGAAGCTGTTAAGCGTCCATTTATTTGTATAAGATACGTGGAGATTAAGCATACATTTATTTGAACACATTCGTAAACACAAGAACTGTTGCAAGAAAAATAGACTCGACTACTATGACATCAATTACGTTTTAATTTGTTTTAATTTGATTTATTTTTAGAAAGGTCAATATTTGGATCCATTTTTAATTTCATTATTGAATTATGTTGACCCATCAAAGCCAAAATCTTCACAATTAACTCCGCCAACATTTTCGAATATAATTGAGGAAAAAGTAAACATATTTTATTCATTTTTTGTATTGACAACTTCTATGTATTTGCTTTTTTAGCTTCAAAATTCTCTCTATGGTAATAATGTTGATATTACCAATCAATATGAAGCATTTTCAAGAACTGATAATTTACATGATACACCAGAAAAAACAGAACAAGATGATTTAGATAGTGCCTACGATAATTTAATTTTTATTGGTAATATGAACATTCTTAGTAACGTTTTCATTTTTTAATTTTAATCTTCTCATATTTTTTTAGCATCAGAACTATTTTCTACATCACCAAATGTAATATATTTATTAGATATTTTGCGTTTACCATTCAAAAATACGTTCGATGCATTTTTTACAAATTATATTGATCAAAAAGTTGACGAATTAGTTGCTGATGAAGAGAATATTATCGATGTTATTCATGCTTTGAGAGGTAAACGGTTTACATCGAAGTAATTTATGATATTAATCGACAATTTTTTATCTTTTTTAGATGCTATCTTTCCAAATGAGAAAACAGATTTTAAGTAAGACAGTCGATATAAAACGATTTGTAACTAATTTTTGTTTTTTTATTTTTTTGTTTTTAGTCCAACAGATATGATTGATTTTGATGATGTTGTGGCAGCTGCTGACGATTATCTACCCAGTAAGATAATTAATGGTATTTTTGAGATAACTTATCGCAACTTTTTCTCTTCTATATTTTAAGATTTGATCAAATTCATCATTGGAAAACAAAATATTCAAAATGGACTTCAGTTGATATTTGAATATTTTCAAGATCCACTATTAAATAAACAAGTACGAGTAGAGTAAAATAACGACAAATAAATATAATATTTATATTTTTTACTTCAGCTTTTTTACATGATTTTGGATGAAATAATTCGAGAATTATTTCCTGAATTACAAGCACAAACACATAAAAAAATGTGAAATGTGAAACGATGCATTCGTTTTTAATTGGATATACATAAATACAATCTCAACATTCCAAAACGAAATTATACATCATAAATAAAGATTCAATCTATAATGTCTGTGAAAATAATACAGATAAAACGAATGAATCCGGTGATTTTATCGTTTGACAACAGTGAATTCACATTTAGTTTTGCTTCCGTTTTTTGTTTTTTTGTTGTAAATATTTTTTTTTCTTTTTGTGTTATCGAATATTAAATAATCTCATTTTTATAAATATGCACACTATTTAGAAGCAGAAATTTTTTATTTGCTTTTGTACAAAAGACAACAAGATTTCAAGCAGTCTTAGTCAACATACTTTCGATAGATGACGCTAACTTCTTATAATAAATTTCTTTACGATTTATTTTCTTTACCAATGATCTAGAATCAATTTATTACATATTTTATATTATTATTATTATTATTATTTTAGGTATCATTTGTATGCTTGCATCGTACTCGTCCTCCTTTCCTCACTTTTCCTCCTAAATTAGATTTTCTCTTCCTTTAGATAAAAGCTTTATTCTTTCAAAATATACACTCAGAATACAGAATACGTGTATATTCTGAACGAATAAAGCTTATATCAAAAGGAGGAGAAAATCTAATTTAGGAGGGAAAGGAGGACGAGTACGATGCAAGTTTATATGGTTTCAAGAATGGGTCTATAAGTTCATGTTTGAATCATATTTTGATTGTTTACCCCAAATAAATGCTTCTGTAGATGATTGTTTTAATTTTGGGTTCTTCTTGTTATTTGTCTTGAAATGATGCAACATAAAAATATTTCATCGATACTAACCATACTGCTATTATTCGAAGAAAATCTATCATCTTATAGCGAAAGAATGAATATTATTGAGTCTTTATTCAGTTATCTATAAAACACAAAAGATATACATGTGATACAAAATGCAACGATAGAATTATTGAAGAAAACACTCACACGTATAATTCAAAAGTTTTTAATTGACATTTTAAAATGACATTGAATGTACTGATTCTTGCAACACTTGTGGATGTAATAAATTGTTGTACTGTGATTTACAACACAATATTTTCGATTCAAATTGCAAGAAAATCAAGCAATATTATACACTGTTCGCTTTTTTCAGATTTCTACTAAAGACAAGTCCGTTGTCCTCATCTTTTAGATTCGGTTTGAGTGTAGAATCTTTAGTGTATGCTGATCAACGTATACAATTTTTCAGTCGTTTACCTGTCTTATTTATTTACGGTTTTATAAGCTTTTTTTAGAGAGTATACATTAATATTTGTCTTCCAGGTTACCCTGATCATTGAACAGTATTATGAAATGCCGTAAACGTAAGCTTTGTCTAGTGTTATACTCACTTATATCACGGTAATAATGTATAGATGTGTCATGGTCTAAATTAAAGATCCGGTACCTTTACATTCACTTTCATATACACAATAGGAAGATAACAATACTGTTTCACTTATATTTTATCATGAAGCTAGTCCATATTTTTTTTCTTAAAATTTTTGTCAGTTATTAGTAGTAGACCTTTTTATAGTTATAATTTTGTCAGATATCAATTCTCTCAAATTCTTGCTTTCTGAATAGACATGGGAATGGCAAATATACCGAGTTATGAGTAGCTTTTTATCTTAAACACGAATTGAATATCAATTTGTATAAAATTTGTATTCATTAATGTGGAATTAATGAGGATTCATGAAAAATTACCATCTGCAAAACTCATCAAAGACAACTAAAACTTTTTTTTAGAAATTTTTGTACATCTGATTGAACTGTATCTAGGATAATAATAATTGATGTCATTTTTTGTTAAATTTCTGAAAATCGAGACCAAAACTATTTTGTTTTTATACAATTTTAACACGTCAGGATTAGTTATTCAAAATTTATTTTTCACATCGTTGATTTTAGTTCGACATAATCAGTTGATACTTATAACCCACAGGATGATGGTCTAGAATATAAAATTTTTCTAACGAATTATGTATCAATAGGATGAAACCATCGATTTTGTAAATGATTCGAAAGAAGATTGAACAGATTCATCGTTGAATAATCTAATCTTTACTTCGAAGACATAAACTTTATTTACTTACAAAAATCTTTATATCATTCTTGTAAGATATGATAATGCACCCATCTGTAAAATACAATTGTTATGCAACATTTGTGGATTTATTTATTAAAAATTTTGAAGCTGGAAATTATTCATCCATCAGTTCAAATATAATCGTCTCTTTTTATTTTGCACATCATATATGACTATTATCTGCAATTTCTTTCGATAAACACATACACTTAAAACTATGAATATTTTAGTGTCTTAAGTAATTTGTGTTTTTTTTTATTCTGGATAATTAGAACAATTATCTTTCAGATGAATGTCATTTTTTTATCCATTGTAAAAAAATCACAATGAGCTTGAACAAAAAAGTAACGATTGAAATGTTTTTATTACATTTTTATTTGTACTTTTCTTTCTTCTAAGAACCTGAAATATCGCAAAGTTTAGTCGGAAATCTCAGCAGATAGTATAACAAGCACGGCTAATACTTCCCATGTAGCCGAGAAAAGTCGTTCGAGGGATGCGACGAGTACTCGACCTCTCGAAAAATGAGATTTCGGACCCTCGATATAAACGTTCGAGGGATTATCAATTCTCGAGCATTCGAGAAAAATTCTGAGCATTCGTCACATCCTTGGGCGACGAGGGCTCGGAAGTCTTTTCGTCTACTTGGGTCCTAAACATCTCTGTTCGACGGCTCGGAAGTTTTCTCAAGGATTCGCTTTCGAGTGCTTGAAATCATAACCCCGCGAACGTTCATATCGAGGATGCGAAGTCTCATTTTTCGAGAGTTCGAACCCTCGGAGAGGGCCTCGAAATACCCTCGAACAAGTGGTTGAGTTTTACTACTATTTTCTATTTCATAAAATAAACGCAATAACTTCAGATGTTATATAACCGTTAAATTTTGAGTATTTGAAACTGACGAAACGCGAGATAGAGATAGTTAATATATTTTCAAATTCATATGGATGTAAATGATTAAAACTCATTTTACAATTTTTCTTTTATAATAATACTAATGATCAACGTTATATAATCATATATGTCTTATTTTAGTTTATTTTTAAAAACAAAGATTATTTCAAATTTTTCAAGCAACGATATGTCATTTGTTATTCTCTTAATTTTTATTCCTTTCTCATATATATTTCTTTTTATTTAGCACATGCCATCACTTAAAAATATTGCCACAAACTACAAAGTTACTCTAATGTATATAGATATTCTAAAATTTCTTAATAATGTGATGAAAATAATGTACTTCTGTTATCTTTAATAATTAACCTTTAGTAGTTTATATAATATATCGACAAAGTATGTATATATTTTGTTCATAAGAAATAAAAAAAAATCTATTTCTTCTATTTTTTCTTATACAAATTCTATCTATGTATGATTTCCATCTTCATTTATCTGCTAAACTAACTAAAACACTTCAATCGACACTCAATCATATCAATATCTTTCATTGATGCTCAAGGGCAATAAATCGATTGAATGAAAACGAGAAGAGACTTATTGCTTTTTACCAGAAAAAAAAATTCTTCTTTTCTTTCATATACTTTTACTCTTTCGAGTCAACCACCCATTGTCTCTTATCAATGATTGTAGAGATTTGGTAAAAGATTATTTAAATTGGCTACAACTGTAGATAAATGATCTGAATTTAGATTTTATGATATACATTTTAATTCATCTATAATTAGTCTCACAAAGAGAGTTTATTTTCAAAAACTTTATCCTTTCTTTTCTACTATAATATAGTTAATCTCGACAACACTCATATAACATTCTATAGCTAATATACAAGGTTATAATTCTATATAGTAGATTAACATATGCTTTAACTATCACGCAAACTTTAGACCACAAAAATGAATGTATAATCAAAAACTAAAATAAACAAAGATTAATTTTTTATATTTTTAAAATAATTATTATATATATATATTTTTATCGATAAGTTCTTGAATAAAAAATTGTATAAAAATATGTACAAAATGTGAAGAAAAAAAGCCAATTAAATTTTAATAAATTTTTAGCAGAATTACAACGATCTGTACCACATAAACATAGCACATCAGATGTATGTTTTTTATGTTTATAACATGTTTCAGCTTTTTTGATATGATATCGAAATATTTTATGACAATCTCGTTTAACATAACGTGATGCTTGTATTCCTGTACCCGATATACTCTCATTTTCACGTGTCCACATTTTTAAACAATAATCATCACATAATTTCGTTGGTATATGTACTTGAAGAAAATTATTTGAATTTTCACATTCAGGTATATTACGTGAATCGCATATAAAACATTCAACTTGTTTTCGACAGGATGATGTATCACTAAATATCGATTGAATACAACATAACAAAAATAAAAATAAATGAAATGTTGTAGATAATAAATGATGTAAAGTATTTTCAAAATTCATATATTATATAAATATCGTTGATTATGGAATAAAATCGACTCTTAATTATCATTGTTAAGTCTGTCGACTATTGACGTATATAAGATAAATAAATTCGTCATTAAAAATACTGGCAAAATAGACATCTAAAATGAGAGATATAATTTTTATTATTATTATTTTGTTATATAACTATAAAAATCAACAAAATTAGAGATAGAATTTTTTATAGTGACAAAAGATGGATAGATGACTGACAATGAATCAAAATATGAACGATATAAGTGTTTTTCTGTAAAATATGACACACTATTGTCGTATGAATAAAAAATAGTGTAAATAATTTTTACTAAGCTATGTATTTACTACAAAATATATATATATATATATAATCTATCCAATTTCCGTGCATGAATACCTATCTTTTTCAATTGTTGGTACGCCAATATTAAACAGCTAAATGATAAAAGACTAGGAAAAAACAAATAGAAATAGAGACGAAAAGATAGTAGTGAAGGAAATTTCTTTGTTTTTCTCATTGGAAACAAAACGAAGACGATTGCGTTTTCATCGTTTACAATTAACAATCATTTTTTTCTTCAGGTTCATGTTCGATTAATCAATCATTCACACATACACACACACACACACACACACACACAATACAATTTCTGATGAGATATTTTTTCCGAATAATAACAGAACTTAGCGCACAAATACTATATTTCCCAAACACACATACACACAGTCAGAACTCATAAACAAGAAGAATAAATGGAAAGAATTTTTTTTTTTCTTTAGCAGAAAATAAAAATAAAGGGATAAGAAAAAAAGAAGAAGAGAACTTTTTTTTTATTTTTATGTTGAGCAAGAAGACATTTATTAGGTTTATGTAATAAAATAGAATAGTAGTGTATGTGTAGAGAGCCACAAACGAACAGAGAATATTTTTCTTACTAATAGGTTTTCTAAATAAACTCGGTATATATATAAAGATAGACTATATATATATATATATATCTCTTAGTCGAAAGAATATCTGATTCTTTTTCTCTCATTCCATATTGATGATGACACAATAGAATTTATTTCCGAAAGAATATATTTTCTGTCAAACATTCGTTTCGAGTTTTATATTCGTCAAAAAAAAAAGAAGAAATCTAAGAAGCCTTGAAATAAAAAATAAAAAAATTCATTCACCTAAACAACGTTAGTTTTCTCATGTAAATGTCAACTAGTGTCAAATTCCATATCACACATATTTTCTTCATATATCCATCCCCATTTGGAATAATCAACAGGAGTATTCTCGTATTGTAGTAATTAAAAAAAAAAGTGTCATAATCTTTATCAAAATTCTTTGCTCAAATGATGATGACTATTATTTCATCATAAATTCTTTTTCTCTCATTTTATTTAGTCTCGTCTTCTGAGACAGACTCGTCAAATCTAAGATGTGGAACACATGAATGTTCTACCGATGATTAAAAAAAAAAATTGTTATTTATTATTGAAAGACTCGTCATAACAAAATCAAATCTTCAATATAATTTTGATTAAAGAATAACTAAAACTAATAAAAAAATATCTCTTTATGATTCTTGTATAGATCGAAGATTATTTTTATTCAAATGTAATATTAAGAATGGAAATTTTTGGATTCACACCGCCATCAATTGATAATGAAGTTAGTGTGGAGAAAGCTGTGGGGAATAATTATGCAGTTAACATATTATTCATGATAGTTTTCGATTTATAACATCACTTAGTCTTTTCTTATCTTTCTTGTATACTAAATTTGTATGATGTACTATAGTGACATATACTTTTATCCATAGACCTTGCATTAAGTTAGATTTGCTCAAATAATATATTTTTATTATCAAAAAATTAGCTCTAGACCTACAAGTTCCTTTTTATGTCTTTGAAAATAGCTTTTAGATTGAATGATGGAAAATGGACTACTTCAAAGATTTAAAATTCTAACTTTTATGTTGATTATAAAAATATTAATCGAACTGTAGTATAGTCATTTCTACATTTAATATCATCAAAATTATTTCCTTACAATAGATCCAATTCCTTTAAATCATTCTAAATTGTATTATACTTCTTTATCAAATTATATTTGATAAAAGATATACGATAAAGATTAAAACATTAAGAACGAGTAGTACTTACAATTTTCGAATATTTGTGTTTTTTAGCGACATCTTATCGCAAATGTCTTTATAATGAAGATTTTTAAATTAAATATTATTTGTCTGCTATTTTTATCCAATAGAAAACAGGAGAAACATCAAAGTCGAAATAAAAAGATATATGCCTTATTATTTATTCATTCATTCATGAATAATAATCATCGTAAGAGCAATAACCATATGATTTAGGCGAATGAGAAAAAAGTAATTATCTTCTAGAATGAAAATGGTGAGATGCGGTCAAGTTGACTTAATTTTTTTAAACATAAACCTGATAAACTATTTGTTTTTTTGCTTCCACCCACAAAAGAATGTTTGTTTTTCTATTGTAAATTTAAATCTAAATTTCTGTTACTGTCGCACATGTTCACAAAGTTGTTTTAATAATATAATAGATGAAATGATGAGATCTGATAGCAAATTTATCTATGTTTATCAATAGTCAGAGTTTTGTTTTTTAATAAACTATTTTCAAAATTCTATATTAGATCTAAATCTTTTATATATATGACTTCTGTTCAATTAAATTTAGATTGTTGTCATTCAAATGTCTAGTACTTATCATAAAAATCCACTTAGATAAAACTTCAAATTAAATTGAAACTAAAATATTTAGTTAAAAATTTAAGATCTATTTGAATTCTATAAATGAAATGATCCACAGGTTTTCAAAGTTTTATTGAAAAATCTTTTTTTTTTTTAAACATACACCAAAGAATGAGAGCTGATTGATCTTATTTCTATCGTTGATTATGTAATCATTTGCTTTGAATATAATTTATTCCTTGTAACTTATCTTCGATTTGTCTTTCACCTTAAAAATATATAGACATTTTTTTTTTCTTTCATTTATAAGTAAATATTTTCTAACAAAAAATTTTTTTTTTTTTTTCATAATGGTGGTCGTTATGCATTTTTATATAATATAAGATGGATATTTTTGATTGATAGAACTATAAGGAAAAAGAAATAAATGAAGACATCTATTATTCCTGGTTAGATGTTTGTTGTCAATATAAGAATAACTGTCAAGAGAAAACATTGTTTAAAAAAAAAAAAAGGACAATATAGAACAAGTTTTTCTATCATGTTTAATTGTTATTATTATTTTTTCATACCGTTCACTATGCTAACACATCTTTCAAATTAATCCATTCATCACTCAACTATTTTCCTTTTTATTTTATTTTTTTTCTTACAGTATGTGTAATTTTTCATCGTTTTTTCGTTATTATTTTTATGATTATGGTATACTATTGAAAGAATGAGCTAATTAAAACACTCAAGTTAACGATTTCGAGCTAGAGGAATCAGAAAAGAAAACGTCTTGTTTTTATTTAATATCTAATTTAACTAAAGATTACGCATGATGATCAATTCAGTTTCTTACAGTGTTTGTTACAACTTATTTCTCAAGATAGAATAATTTGTTTTTATCGTCCGTTGATCTAATAGTGTCGACAGAAAAAAAGAAATTTTTTCGGTTATACAGAAGATTATTTATTATAAGACACATTCCACATAGGTGTTTTCACAGCTCTTTTTTTTCCTTTTTTCTACACAGTTCTAAATCATTTATCTATTCATCTAGTTGACAAATGTAGTTTAATTATTAGAAACACTTCCTCTCTACGGGCCTATATAAAGTATCAGTATATATATATATATTTACATTTTTTACATAAATATGAATATATGACAAATTTTGGATAATGAAACAGGTATAAACTTTTTGAAATGAAAATCTTTTTTCATGCTTGACAGTGACTTTTCCTATGAGATATATATGTTGTTTTTTTTATAATCTAATGGTTTGTCATTAGTCAGATGTTGTCGAGTACCAAAAAAATGGAAAAGTTTTTCTTTATTCGATTAAAGCTTTCAATAATGTTAATTTTTTGTTTCTTTTCGAGTAAATATCGAAAATCTGTTCCGTTTCAGATAAATATTTTTGTCTTATTTTTATGTCTCATCAAAGCTTTTTTTATCCGTTTTTCTTGTCGTCATGAATAATAATGATCAAATTTTGTCACAATCTGTAGACAATCGTGCTACGCGTTGCTCATTCTCAGTTCAGTTTCATCCAATTCGAGATGATGACATTGATGATCATGATAGTTCTAGTCCGCTCGATCATAATCACAAACAAAATGGTATACGACAAGGTATAATTTAATTAATTTTAATTGCTTACCTGTATATATTTGTTTGTTTATGTGTTTTAGGAGATGAAATGGCACAAAAATGGTCTGCATCATATATACCTTATATGACATATTTTGAAGACCGCGAACGACCATGGTCATTTATAGCTAATTCAGATGTATTTATAGTAGCCGTCAATGTCAGTCGAGAACATCATTTCCGTTTAAATCCATTTTTGTAAGTATACATTTATTTTTTTATCTTATGCTAATATTAGTGTAACAATTTTATATTACATTATATAAGTATCAACCGGAAGAACGAATATCTCGCCTTGCGGCTATTGTTCCCGATATAGTGTGCGAACAAGTTAAACTTATAAGTTTTAGACAGTCCCATACCTTTTCTGCGGTCATTTCTCTTCAATGGTAGTTACTCATATCTTCACTATTTATCAAATTGTAATTCTGGTCAGGGTTAGCTTGTCTCAGAATTGTTCTTTCTATCTAATGGGTTGAGAATCTACATACAAATTTACTAACCATGTATTATCTTTCTAAAAAGCTAAAAGAACTATGTTCCACATCATAATGAAGAAAAATACTCTATTGAACAGGTGATTTAAGACACGAGTAATTTGCTAAAGATTAGTGCATGAGTTGCAAACATCGCGGTTTAAACAATATCTTCTTTAAAATATGTGACGAATAACATAGTCGTTAACACATCAACTAACTGAGTAGATCCTTTTTAACGGTGTAATATTCAGTAGTTTCATATCATGAAACAGTTTTAATCGCTGTCATTGTCTCATACGTTCACGAAAAAACAATAACTAAATAAACCACTTGCTTAGTAGTTTGATGAAAAATAAATTTATTAGATTGAGTTATATACAGATGACGTTTCTTAAATTTTTTATTTCTTTATTATATATATTCAATTTAAAAGTAGTAGTGTGTTATAGACGAGAAAACATTGGCGAAAGGTGGATAGATATTCTCAATTCCAGGTATCTCAGAGCGCGAAATAAAAATAATGCGCAGATAATAATGAGATAAATAAATGCACACATATACTAATAACAATGGGATTTTTTCATGTTGCGTATTAAAACGCATGTTTTGCTCTTTTTATTCTAAATGCTGTGACCAAATAGTTCGCTAAACTCTGATTTTTATACTTACCATTCATTTTGTTAAACGAGGACTAATTGATGTTTATCAAATAGTTTTGATATTTTTTGGATAAACTAACATCAAACAGTCTATTCAACATTTCTGTGCACTTAGGTTTTCTTAATTACGATCTTAGTATCTTATTTATGTGAATCTGTATTTTGGATAGACTTGACACTTTTATATCGCATGTACGTCAAGGGACTATTTAGAGATGCGTCCATAAGGTAAAATTAGTTGAACTTAGAAACTTGTCGAGTTGAGGCTCAAATTAATGTTTTCGATTCAGATCTAACTATAAATCGAACCTCAATGTTTTGTTTTCTTTGAGTGAAGTTTCCGTTCTCTTAACTCTTTTAGATTCTTCTTTCAACTCTAATTGAACGTGACTACTATCCATTTCAAAATATAATGTGGATGATTGCGACATGAGTAGCTCGAGAACGGAATGAGCTATCGAGATCGGGTTTCCGCCATCGTGTAGCCAAGATCGGGGCACGTAATAATATGCAAAAACCAAAATTTTTGCGTCTTCTCTGCCGTTAGGTTTGAGACTGTCAGAAATGAATGAAAACATAGGTTACAAACTAAGCTGAATCTCGTGGCAACATTTATTTTTCAAAACAGTTTCAAAAAACTAGTGAAATGAGATACCCATTTTTGAGCAAAATTTATAATTCAGTTAAAATCAATCCAAGTTATGTCAGAATATCCAGGTGTACTCTATTTTACCTGCTCAATACTATGCAGCTTTAAAATCGACAGAAAATATCCTGGTTTTTGAAAGGGTTACAAGAATGTTTTTCACTAATCCCAAGTAAAAAATTGTTTGGAGCAGGTAAAATAGAGTACATCTTGATATTCTGACATAACTTGGATTGATTTTAACTGAATTATGAATTTTGCTCAAAAATGGGTATCTCATCTCATGTACGTTTCCACTAGTTTTTTGAAACTGTTTTGAAAAACAAATGTTGCCACGAGTTTCAGCATAGTCATTAATCTATGTTTTTATTCATTTCTGACAGTCCTAAACCTAACGGCAGAGAAGGTCATCCTATAAAGAAAATCTAAGAGCTCAAAAATGTTGAATAGACTGTTTTATATAAGTTTATCCAAAGGATATGAAAAATATTAGATAATGAAAACTGAACTTAAAGCTAATAGACTTTTTTTTTCATTCGTTGAAATTAGATATACAATCAAATTGAAACATGGTTGTTTCGACTGGACTATATCAAAACGTTATAAAGATCTTGTAATATTTTTTGAACGAATGAATTTATTTCAAAAAACAGCTTCACTACCACTACCAACAACTTCGTACGTATGCTCAATTATTTCAATAATTAGTATAATAACATATAAATATTTTTCTATTAGACATCGAGAAATTCGACGTCAAATGAGTCATTCACAAACTGTTAGTGGTCTCACATTAAAACCGGACGTTTTAGTTGATGATGGAAATATTGTTGAACGTGAAGTAAATAGTAGAATAAACAAAAAAATACATTTACATTATTTATCTTCATTGTTCTCTTTTAGAAATTGGTTGCCGAAAAATTAACCTCAATATTAAATCATCCAGTTCTATCTACTCATATTGAATGTGTAATTTAATAAAAATTTATGCAGATGTTTATCTAGTATCATTTATTTTTTTTATTTCTTTTATACAGCTCAAATTTGTTGAAACATGTCCGTTGTCATTCATACAGGAACTAGGCCGAAAATACAAAGAAGGTGTAGTTAAAAAACATTCAGGAGGATATAGACAAGGTTGTTGTGAAAATGTGATTGCTCGTATGAGATGGTTTAAGCGGTATGATAAAAATAATGTTAAACTTATCAATTACAGTGAAATATTTTTATTTTTGTTATATTTTACAGATGGTTTATTATAAAGGATACATGGATTGGCTATTTAAATCCTAAAACAGGAATTGTACGCGCTGTGATGTTAGGTATAACATCTGTACTATATTACTTAACCTTTATTTCAATTTACTTTTTGTTTATTTAAGTTGATCATCATTTTCATGTACGAACGGGAAGAGAGAATACTGGTTCATCGACAAAACTTTATATATGCAATCTAGCACGGTATATAGTCAAATTTATTTACAGTATTACTTAGAGAGAAGATCAATATTATCGATAAGAATTAGCGAAATATCATCAGAAAACTTTAAATTAATTGAATTTCAAGACTAACTCAATATAGAATAAATTCGCCTTTTGTTTTGTAGACGATTATATGTTGAATGTGGAGCAGAAAGAAAAGCAACGGAGTTTTGTGAAGATATCAATCGAATGTTAAAAACAACTGGCTATGATTTCCATATAAAACATCGATTTAATTCATTTGCTCCTGTACGAACAAACTCGAAAGCACAATGGTTTGTACTAAATAAATGAAATTTTATCTTAATCACTTGTTGATTTGTTGATGTTCATAGGTTGGTGGAAGGTAAGTGATGTCGTCGTACTACAAGTCAAAGACAAAACAAAATTAAAGTATGCGGGAGAAAACACTGATTTTCTCTTATTTTTAAGGAGCAGATTATATGGAAGCGGTTGCCTATGCCATCAAGGCGGCAAAAGAAGAGATTTATATCACAGATTGGTTTTTATCGCCCGAGATATATTTAAAGAGGCCAGCACTGTCAGATGAATGGCGTTTTGACAAGATGTTACAAAAAAAAGCTGTAAGTATCAAAAAATTTAAAATAAACTATAGATTTTTTTATCGCTGTTTTATCTTTAGCATGAAGGTGTTCGAATATTTGTTTTATTATACAAAGAAGTTGAATTAGCACTAGGCATAAATAGTTCGTATAGCAAACGAAAATTAATAGAAACTCATCCAGATAATGTGAAAGTAAATGTTGTTTTTATCCGTTATAAATTTACCTACATGATACATGTGATTGTTGTTGTTTTTTGTAGGTTTTGAGGTATCCAGATCATACTGGTCAAAATGCTGTTCTATTTTGGGGACATCATGAAAAATTGGTTATTGTTGATCAAAGTATAGCCTTATTTGGGGGACTCGACCTTTGCTATGGACGATGGGATAATTATTTTCATTTGTAAGTAACTTTAGAACAATCGTTCTTTAAAAAGATTATTGTCCTTTCTTTCATAGATTAACAGATTATGGATCTGCGCTTCCTATGAAACACAATAAGACTCAAAGTGTTCCGAGAACAAATAGCGTGCCAGATATAAAGGTAGAAGAACAAAAATTTCGTTCGATAAATGAATAGCAGTTTTTATTGTATTTAGATCCATGGTGTTAAATCACTTATACCATTAGAAGCTCTTGATCTTGATCGTGGAAGGATGCCGTTATATCAACCATATCGTCCTCCATCCATGATAGACGATGATCATATACCGCATATTGATGATGATGATGAAAGACCTACTCCAACAACAGTGGAGAAAGAATTCAAACCAAATAAAGTACAATTTCATAGTGAATATTGTCTAAAAGACCGTTTGAAAGATTTAGTGCCATCATCAGAAGTACCACCTTTTGTTCCCACACCAAAACGTTCTCTATCAAAAGTGTTAAGTGATCAAACATTCGAAAATTCACCTAAATTATCTCCTAATCGACGTTTTTCATCCGGTGACATCAGCATAGAGGAAAATAATAATACTAATGATCAAATAGATCATCAACAAGAGCAAAAACAAAAACGTCGCATTTATAACTATAATCATCATTTATTTTCAAATATTTATAAGAGAACTCATCGTTTATCATCAAGTGAACAACGTCATAATTATCATCAACGTTTAGCTGAGTCTCTCACTGATGATGACGATCCATCTAATCGTAGTAATGCACAAACATCGGATTCTGCATATGTGCGCGCACTCGAACAATACCATAATCATACAGTAGACGCAAGTTTATCTACACTCGAATCAATGCAAACTATAGCTAGTTTAACTGATCCTGACTATCGACGACCATCGTATAATACAACATTATCTGTGCCATCAGGAAAATTTACATTATCTTATCAGAAACGTCATTCAGAGAATCTAATACCATCGAATACATCTGCTGTTGCACAAAATCTTCATGCCGATAATGTATCTAGTCATAATCAAAATCGTCAACCTCTACGCGAAAAAAAATTATCACTTCTGTCACCAAGACGACGTTCTCATTTTGTACAAGCAGCAACACTTTCAGATGAACAAAAACGTAAACGGGATGTTATTTGGCCATTAAAACGATCATTTTCTTTTGATAACACCTTTCAACGTGATACAATTGAAGAACTAAATAAAGGTATTATTTTGTTTTCAATTTTATTTTGGCGTTTATTTCACCTAGACAAATATTTCTAGTCATTTTCTAGAAATCTAAAGAGAATAAACGAAATTATTGTGACACCAACATACTGTTTTCCTTTATTTCAATTAATTTTCATATTTCAGAACCGGATTGTGTGTCTAATATTGATATTTGTAAGTAAGAGTGTGTCACATCACTTTCCATGTTGTGTGGCTATAAAGTGTACTTTTTTGCATGTACACGTTTATGAATGATTTCTTTATATGTTTGAAACGTTTTTTGTACGCATTACTGAATAGAGGTTTGCGGGACCAAATGTTTTTGATACTGATCTCGATCCCGTTGAAAAAGCTTGTTTTGGCTTCCGATCCTGTCATCCCGTAAATATTTTTTTCAAAGTAGCGCTGGTAGTTTAAAAGTCACAAATTCACGAACATTAACAAAAAAACGAAAATATGAAGAGCAAGCTCATAATAGTAACAAGAAAAATGATAATCATGATAGCGATAATGATGAAATGACAGCAACTGCAACACTTGATGATGATTTTTGTTTGATAGATAAAAATAAATGGAATTCATTCATCATGAACTCTCATTAGTAGACATTTTTCCTTTTTCTATTGTTGAAGCTGGAAGAAACTTGTAGCTTTAGCTATTTTCACAAACATTTGAACTTTGAACAAAGTATATCAGTATGACAATGATTCAAACTAACCTAGAAAATAGTACTATTGCAATGAGATTATCAATTGAAGGCTTTTAGAATTTTGTGTGAGTTCTTTCTCGTAAAACTAGTACCTTGAATTGTACATAGAAAAATCTACAGGCGCTACGAAATTTTTATGCTTCATACAAAGACTATTTTCAAAAACATCTAGTCCCGATCCTGGTCTTGTAAAAAGTCTCGCGAAACCGGGATGGAATCGATACCGTCCCACAGACCTCTATTGCTGAAAACTTATCTCTCAACGTGTTGCTATATACTTAGTTAATTATTGTATATCAGTTTTCTACACCATCAGAAATTTAGAATATAATTATTTGTGTTATACATTAAATTTATAACACAAATAATTATGAAACAAAAAATATCTATGCAGTTCATAAGTGTAACCACTTCAATCAATAAGAAAGTGAACTTATAAATTGAATGAGAATTTTTGAGCTATATATGTTTTTCATTCAACTTTTGTAGTAGACAAACGTTTTGAATATTTGTAAGCGATATATAACAGTAAACAGCTGAAAGCTAAGCTTTTGAATGTGAGTATGACTTACACTCTTGATATTTATAGATTGTTTTCTGTCATCTAATTTCTTATAATCATCAATAGTTTAGTGATAAAACAAATATTAACAATTGACTGTTTGTTAATTATTTAGACAAAGAATCAAAATGGCAACGTTTAAAAATAGGTTTAAGAGATACATTACAAACAAAAATATTACGTTTTACAAAATCAAATGAAGATGTATCAACACTTGGACTTGGTATTCAACCTCCTTCAACACCATTAACACCATTAACAGCCGGTATTGATCGTGAACGTTTTCGTGATAAAATACGTCGTGTTACATTAAGTTTTAAAACAAGTTGGAAACAATCACGTAGTGATTCAGATATTGATGAATACGAAACACAAGATATAAATGATATGAATAAATTTTTTCGTTCATCAAATGATTTAGGTTTACAGGGTTCATCAAAATTATGGTTTGGAAAAGATTATGCCAATTTTTTATTACGTGATTTTCGTAATTTGGATCAACCATTTATTGACATAATTGATCGTAATACTACACCAAGAATGCCATGGCATGATATTGGTGGATTTATATATGGTGCTGGAGCAAGAGATTTAAGTCGACATTTTCAAGAACGATGGAATTTTATTAAACGAAATAAAGTTAAAGACGATGATAGATACCCATTTTTATTGCCAAAAGCATATGGTAACTATACACCATGTCCAAAATTAACAACAAATGCCATCAATTGTTCTGTTCAGGTATGTGTGACTGTTCAAAACAAAAAATTGTATATTTAGCCTAGACTATGTATTTTTTTTGTTTTCATTTAGGCTTTAAGAAGCGTTGGTAAATGGTAAGTAGATCTTTTAATTTTTGAAATGTTCAATTTAATTTGATTTAATTGATTGTTAGGTCAACTGGTATTAATGAAAATGAAACATCAATACAAAATGCATTCATCGATATGATTACAAATGCCAAATATTATGTTTATATTGAAGTAAAGAATGTATTTTATGTTTTCACAGGATTTATAAATGTTTTTGGTTTTTTTTGCTTATTTTTAGAGTCAATTTTTTATCTCGCTTGTTGGTGATAGCGTTGTACGAAATGGAATAGCCGATGCCCTATTCAAACGGATTATCAAAGCCCATCAGTAAATAGAAATAAAATGTCAAATGGACGTTGCTTATTAATATTTCTGACTTTTTTTTTCTTCTTTTAGAGATAGAGAGACATTTCGTGTTTATATTGTGATGCCATTGATGCCAGGATTTGAAGGACAATATGGTTCAAGCAAAGCCACTGCCCTTCAAGCAATTACCCACTGGAATTATCGATCAATCTCACAAGGACAACAATCATTGCTAGCTCGTCTCTCTAAAGAAGGTAATATATTTATTATACATTTGTAGTCATATTTTTCTTTATCATCTTGTTTTTTCTTATTCTGTTTTCAAGTTGGTGATGTACATAAATATATTTGCTTTTTTGGTTTACGGTAAGACAGAAATATTCAAAAAAACAACAACAATAAATTTGTTAATTTTTATTTTTCTCATTTTACAGTACATGGTCTGAAATGAGTGATCAACTCGTGTCTGAAATTGTTTATGTTCATAGTAAATTAATTATTGTTGATGATTCACGAGTATTAATTGGTTCAGCTAATGTTAATGATCGAAGTTTACTTGGAGATCGTGATAGTGAAGTATCAGTTATATTTGATGATATAGAATTTGTACGAGGAACAATGAATGGAGAAAATGTACAAGTGGGAAAATTTGGTTCAAGTTTAAGAAAACGTTTATTTCGGTAATAAAAAAATAAATAATTAAAAATTTTAGTTTTTCTAGAAAAACAAACAACAAAAATCCGCCTAATTCATATGTCATTTTTTTTTTCTTCTAGAGAACATCTTGGTGATTTTGATGGTACACAAATCGATTATAGTGATCCTATCTGTGATGCATTTTACAAAGATATTTGGTTAGCAACGGCAGGAAGGAATACAACCATGTTCGAAAAAGTAGGTGTCGTTAGAGATATCATATTATTGATGATCATTTAACTATGGAAACTTATTTTTTTATTTTTGTTTTTTAGATTTTTAATTGTATACCAACGGATTCGGCGTTTACATTTGTTCAATTACGTGAAATACAAGCAGCTAGTAAATTATCACAGACAAATCCGGATGAAGCTAGACGTCTATTGACTTCTGTGCGAGGATATTTAGTTTTAATACCTCATAAATTTTTATGCAAAGAATATTTAGCTCCAAGAATGCCAGCAAAAGAAATTTTAGCGCCCGTTTATTTCTGGACTTGAAAATGTTTTTTTTTTCTTCGATGAACTCTTGTTATAGTTTTTATTTGTAAATAACATTTTAAAAGTTGTATTTATTACTATCTTATCCATTGTTCATACATATATCTTGTTCTCACATTTTTTCAGATTTTTGTATAAGAGTCTTGTGTGTTCTTGTGAAATTTTTAACTTTGTCAAAACAAAACAAAAAAGATGCAATTGTTCGAAGTCGTACAGCAATAAAAATACTATTCTTCCTTCCTTTTGTAATTTGTATTTTCTTTTTTCTTTATTTCTATAACGCAATATTTGACTACGTTACAAAAGAAAAATGTTTTTTTTCTGCTTTGTTAATGTTTATGTTTTTTTTAAATCCAAATCTCATATTCTCCTTTCTGTTATTTATCTAATAGTGTAATTATTTCTTCTCATCCCTATTTTTCATAATAGTTAAACATTTTTTGTTCATAAAATGTTTCCCTCTTCCGTAAGGTAACTGATAATTTATAGGAATGTATCAGAGAGAGAGAGAAGACATTCCGTCCATGTTTTATCTGATAAACATACTATGTGACTCATATGGATAAGATTTGGTGTCTTCTTTTTGTCTAATACCTACTTGCTTCAGCTATATTGTTTGTTATTTTTTTTTTGTTAAAAGGTAGCCTTTGTTTTTCATTGTGATATCATTCTTCATATTTTCTAATTTATAAAATGCAATGAATTTCGCTTTTTCTTCACATCATAATACACACATTTATTCATTTCTATAATTTGACTGCTGGTCAGTCAAAATCAATTGATTATTTGTGTTTTCTCGTTTGCTTTTGAACGGTGAATTTTTGGTTTTTGTTTTCTTTTCTTCTTTTTATGTGTTTGCTCAAACTACAGCAGTTTTTTTGAACAGAAAATTTTTTTTTCTGTATATACGTGTGTGGGTAGCTTTTTCTTTGACGGTGGACTTTAATGTTTTAGTTAAACTTTTTTGTATGACATATTTTCATCATAGAGGTTAATTCAATTCAGTAATCATTTTCTTTGCTATTTCTTTTCCTATATTGAGACAGTATTATTCATTTTTAGTTTCTTTCTTTTTTTTCTGATACTTTGCTGTAGTAATTCTTTTCACTTCTCGCTTTTTTTTTTTTTGCAGAAACATTCCTGTCATTGGTTTATTTCCAAATGAAAAAAATAAACACGTAACTAATTCAACTTTACATCCCTCAACTAATTTTGACACCTTTGTTGTTGTTTTTCTCATACATTATTCGTACTGTGCATATTTTTTATACTATCATTCTTCTTTTTATTTACGTTATTGTTCTTCTATTAAATTTTTCATTTTTTTTTTATGACTGATAAAAATATTCTTTTTCTCTTCTTTTTTTTGTATACGCATGCTCGCATAAACATAACGCAATGTTAATTCATAAAAGTAATAGTTAAAAAAATAAAAATACAAATCAAAATTTAGTCTAATAATAAATGATCAAATATATTTGTCTCTACAATTTTAATGATAATTATAGAATCTCGGTCAATTTTTTGCTAATCGTTGACTAAAACATTTCGAATATCGAAAATTTTAAAAACAGTGTTGAGTGAGAGTTGTGCGTTGTTCAATGGACACCATTTAGCATATTGTTATTTGATTCTATTACTATAGTCTTGTAGTGTTGACAACCAATACTTGAGACAGGATAATTTTAATATTTAATCGTATTCATGTATGTTTCTAAATAATAAATGTAAAACATATTGAAATTAATTAAACTTTTTCAAAGATTTGATTCAAATATAAATATATAGTGCATAATCAAACTAATTGGATGGTGTTTCACTAAAAGTGTAAGTATTTTTTTGAAAATTGTTTATTAACACTAATCAATGGTTAAAAGAGCATCAACATTGATTTGTATGTTTGTTTTCAAGAAAATTTCTTTAATATTTATCTCAACGATACAGTAACAAATATTTAGTACTTAGATAGATAATAATACTAAAAATAATTCCGTATCATCCAACAGTCAACTTAGTTACATATACCTTGTTTCTACTTTAATTTAGATGACTTAGTTGTTTTTTATTTTTCTAGTGTTTTTTTATATAGTAAAGATATTTTTATTAATACGAGATATGAAAGATAGATTTGATTTAAAAAATTGTTGTCCTCATATTGAACAGTTAGTTGTAATTAAACAATTTAATCTACAAAATATTGTAGATTAAATAATTGATGAGTAATATTATTGGTATACTTGGCGGTGGAATTGGAGGTTTGGTGAGTGCCTATTATTTAGCACAAAAAGCATTATTAACTAAAACAAATATAACAATTTTATTATTTGAAAAATCATCACGTTTCGGTGGTTGGATTAAATCAAATCATTTAACTAAAACTTATGATAAACATATATTTGAGTTAGGACCACGTACATTACGTTTAAAATCGGGTTTTTCATCATTATCCAATTATCCAGCAATAAATACATTAGAATTACTTAAAAATTTACAAATATTTGATACACAATTTTCTCCAATTGAAACAAAATCACCCACATATCGTAATCGTTTAATATATTATCAAAATAAATTAATTAATTTAGAAAATTTATCGATAATCTATGGTGGTAAACCATTAAAATTTCCACCTTTTGTCTATTTATTATATGAATATTTTTCACCATCAATAAAAGTTGAAGATGAATCAATTCGTTCATTTCTTCATCGACGTCTTGGAGATATGTTAAGTGAAGATATTGTTGAATATTTATTAGATCCATTATTAAAAGGTATATACGCTGGTAGTGTAAATAATTTAAGTGCTAAAACAGTACTAAGAAAATTATTTAATTCTGAACAAAAATATGGTTCAGTAATAGCTGGATGGAATAAAATGAAGATTATTGATGATAAAGAACAATCAATATTTGATGATTTACAACATTCAAATTATAAAGATCTTATAAATAAATATTCAATATATTATTTTAAAGATGGTATGGAAATATTAGTTCAAACACTTATCAAATATTTAAGATCATTACCAAATATTCAATTATATGAAAATGAAGCCATAGAAAAAATTGAATTTTGTCAAAATTCAACTGTAAAATTAAAAACAAAATTAAATCGTTTAATAAATGTTGATCATTTAATAAGTGCATTACCATCTTATGAATTAGCATCCATTATTAATAATAATAATAATTTAAAAACAGTATTAAATCGTATTCCATTTGTTCCAATGATTGTTGTGAATTTATTATATTCAAATAAAAATATATTTCCACAATCGGCATTCGGTTATCTAATACCATCTAAAGAAGAAAGTTATCTATTAGGTGTTCTATTTGACTCATGTGTAAGAGAACAAACGGATAAAGAGAAAATGGGTAGTCAATTGACAGTGATGATGGGTGGTGCATGGTATGATAAATTAAAATTAAATCGTTATAGTGATGAACAATTATTAAAAACTATTCAAAATGAATTAAAGAAACATATAAATTTAGATGAAAAACCTATACATTATCAGATATCAAGATTAAACAATGCTATACCAAATTATAATGTTGGTCATCAAAATATTCTAGATGATTTAGATACAATTATATATAAGGAGAATTTACCATTGACATTAGTTGGAAATTCATATCGAGGTGTGGGTATCAATGATGTTATATACGATGCACGAGTAGAAATTGAATATTTAAATTTAAAGGAACAACGGTTAATTCAAAGACTCGAAGTAAACTAAATCGAACTTCGAACTAATGTATTCTGCTCTTAGAATTATAATGTATGTTACACTTGTTTTAACGTTTCTGATAAAATGTCATTTATGTTTTTTTCTGTTATTATGTATCTATATGTTAACTAGTCATTAGTCCCAAATATCATACAATTACTACATGTTTTTCTGGAGAATGACATTTTTTTCTTTTTTTTGGTGGAAATCTAAATCGTTTTAACGGTAAAAGATCTGTCAGATTGACTGAATTTCTTATAATACGACAAAAAATCTCTCTTCTGCATTGTTTCATCGACGGCTGGATTATCTTTAAAAATCTTCGTCTTTATCATCAAATTCGTCGATTTAATTTTAGTAGATTAACAATGATCAAACTGTTGAGGACTGTTGAAGCTCGAGATAACTCATCAAAAGGAGTTTATGAAGAAAAAATTAGCATTTGTTCACATTTAGCACTCAGACTAGTTAATCTCTTTTTCGGATGTTTTTACAAGTTAACCGTTCTTTAAATCATTCGTGTTTTATGAGGAAAAAGTTTTTTATTGTACGAAAACAAGAAGACGGCTAATTTCTTTAACTTTTTAATCTCATTATCGAGTGAAAAGAAAAAATGAACGGAATGAAAAAGGCATAAGCACTGCATATAGTGTAAACTGTGTTACTCGTTAAAATGAATTAATCTTGATCGAAAAATAAACCAACTTCTATGTTTCGTTAATATTTGTTCAAACTAATATTTTTCTGGTCATTTTTCATTTCCAACTTACTTTAATATTTCTTGAAAAATAGAGATCAGAACAAGTGATACTGTTTATAATATTCTTCCTTAACGACTGGCCCTTCTCTCCTTGTCTTACGAGATATTGAATCAGAATGACGTAGATAAATTCAATTATCGCATCAGTGGTATATTTTTTCACTTGCTTCTTTTTCGATGTCACCTTTGTCTTCCATTGTGGTTCTCATTATTTACTTTGAAAAATGCGGTTTAATTTCACTAAGTAAATGATGTGCCGAATCACCAAATAATTGAACATTGACGATTTCTCGGTTGATCAACGTTACATTTTCTTGTTTAACATGCAGAGAAAGTAGAAATATTTAACGCAAAATCGAAGTCAACGGTATTTGACGATTAAGAGCACACGTAACATCGCTGTTATCGAACAAAAATTACAATAGACATTGAATAAACAATCCGTAAATAACAGTAGTTGAAGTAGTAAGAGATTATTAAAAAGCTGTGTAGAACGACGCCATCTCGATTGAGAACAATTTGAAACTGTGCATTCTTGAAGGAGAACAATATTTTATAATCTATTTTAAAGGAGAACATATTCAGCTGCTGCACTCTCGAACGGGAACAATTTATAAACTTATTCTTAAAGAAGAACATTTTCAAACAGTACACTCTCTCGAGAGAACAAATAGCCACTGCAATAGATGCTAATACGTAGTGATTTTGTGATTGTAAAGGGTATAAACAAAATACATATTTAAGCTCCATTAAAATACTCTTGAAAATCTATACATCCGCACAAATATTGGTACTTAGCATGGATTATTTCATTTTCAACAACAGAAGAGAAGCAATACTAAGCAGACAACTTACTCAGTACAATGCCACGTTACAGTGCCATCAACTTTACGCGTACGAAAGCGATAACGATACGTTTTATACAATAATAACTTATGACCATCTTTACTAGTATCGCCAGTAGCAAATGGTAATGACATTTTTTGGTTCTCGGTAATGATTTGCAAAGTTCATTGCTTTTATAAGGTTGAATGTTTACCATGTTGATCGTCGTGGTATTCTTTAATCTTTTGAGCTGCCTTATGGTGATCTAAACAGTCTCTTCGGCATTATTCTTTCTCTAGTTCAGAGCTTTAAGAGGCTTCTTAATTAACTTACGTTTTAATCTGTTATCTTCCAATTTAAAACTGTTCTCCTTTGAGAATATATATGACAAAAATGTTCTTCAAGAGTGCACGGTTTATAAATGTTCTCACTTGAGAAATTATTAAGAAAATTGTTCTCATTTGAGAGGTCACCTGTAGAATTTGATTGTTGATAAAAAAGTAGTAATAAACTCTGTTGTTGTATTCGTAGAATTGATGTAAAAAGTTCGATTGTGATAGAGATGAAGAGGGGGATGAATATTATCTCATTTTCTTTAAAATCAAGAACAATTTTATAAATTCTATAAAATAATTTTCATTCCTGACTTTACAAGAATGCCTTATATTTCGTCCGAAATTTGCTGAAATTTAGAAACAGATAGAATAGACAGTATAATATATAAGACTTTAATGTACTATGTGGTGGATCTAGCGTTCTTAGAAGTACTTGATCTGTCTCTCAGAAATCAATGAACTTTTTTTTTGCTTTACATAAGATGAAAAAGGCCTAAAACTTTCTCTCTACACACACACACACATATATATATATATATATATATACATACTGCATTTTTTTTTCGAGAAATTTTCGAGAAATAGAAATAGTTCACGAGAGTCCGTAAATAAACATCCATACTGTGAGACATTTTATACAATGTTTTTTTACATTTTCGTCCAGAAACAATTGTTTCATCATCATATGTTCGTAGAATATGAGATTCTTTTTTCTTATGTTCAAGTGACGACGTTTTTCTTTCTCTTCTCTTTTATTTCTATCTAGTCACACTTATACACTATATAACTATATTTACTGTTAATTTTTTAATTCATATCATCTTCGTGTCGATGATGTAAGATATACATCGAAAGCTCGAAAATTAATTTTAAAATCAATTAGATTCTACATGAGAATCTCGTCATGTCTTTTGTGATAGTTCTATATTCATTTTTGTCTTTCATACTGCTCTGCCTCTCAAATTATCTACAGTACTTCTTCAGTGATAAGTTTATGGCTTTTGCTTTAGTTTGAGAGTTTTTTGTTCATTAATTACTACAAATGACGCATACAAATGAGTACGTAGGAGATATCAAAATCTAAATGGAACATTTTTTCGGCATAATGTGATATTCGCAATATGAGTTTTATTGATGTCAAAGTTGAACATTTCTAATGTAATTTCCAGAAACTAAAGTCTAGTTGTGATTTTTCAAGTGTTCCATCTTCAGACTGGGTAAAAAAAACTACGAGAAATTGGTTAAAACTACGAGAAAATTTCCATGATAAATTCGTTATTGTTTGCATCAGTAGTTGATATTCATAAAAGCACTATTGTGACTATTTTCAGTGATTATTTCTATGATTGAATTAACATCAATAATTCCTATCTGTTAGAGGATTTCTCAATCTGACCATAATCGAAAAATTCTCTGTCACGATGAATTTAACGATGCTGACAATGTAACGTTAACATGGTGGTTAGAAAATGTGCAGCTAGAAATGGCAATATCATCGGACAGCCTTCTAACATGGTCATTAGCTGTTGCTTGAGTACAGAGCTGAACAAGTCAAGTCAAGTCAAAAATGACTTGACTTGACTTGATCTTGGAAATTTTTGATGACTCATGACTTGACTTGACCTGACTTGATAAAATTCTTTTAAAAGACTTGACTTGTGACCTGGCATAAAAAATCAAGTCATGTCATGCATATTTTTAAACCGCTTATGCAATCTAATTTTAAATAATAATTCATAATGATTTCGGAATATTGATGTTATAATATGTAAGAATTTACGCACAGTAACAAGACGCGCATTTTGCAATAGCATAGCAAGTCTGTGTTCTAATAACAAGGAATGAAGGCTCTTTTATGCCGTTTTCTACGGAAAAAAAATTTCAAGTCATGACTTGTGACTTGACTTAGCTCGGAAAACCCCGAGACTTGACTTGACTTGTGACTTGGAAAACCCGTGACTTGCCCAGCTCTGCTCCAGTCAAACCTTATTTGGTTAAGATCCTTGTCTAGCAGAATGAAACGGCACAGGAGATAAAACAAAGATAGTATCACTTCTTTAGAACAGAAGTAAGTTAGAATGAAATGATATTACAGCAGTGCTTAAGTCACCTTTTTATGAATTCCCTTTTTTAGTTAGATTACTCGTTCACTATTGTCCGATAGGTAATACTTTCGGTCCTTGCATACTATCACTAACAGCGAAGTTTTTTCGACGTATTTCCAAGATGATGTTATGAAGCTACTACTTACCTACTTTTAACTCTGGAGTGTTCAAAACTATTCAAGATTGATTTCAAAAAATTTCTTCTTATTTACTAAGTTAATTAGGAAATAATTTATGAAGGATGAATTTAGGTGAACAGTAGATGTTAGTGCAAAAAATGTTCCAAATATAGTCATCAGCGAAGTAAGATAAACCAAATTGTGAATTTTTGTTCATCTTATCAGCAATTGCATGTTATTATTTCTAGAAACATTCTAATGAACTATAACGAAATGCTAAAGAAGATCGTTGTATAAATGACATGCAACTAGTACGATGTACGTTCGATGTATTTGTTTAAAGTGGAATAGATTTATGAAATGGATGATTGTTTATTAAACGTTTCTTAGTATAATAAGTAGTCCAAACGTCTTGTATAGATTTAAGAGTTCCAATACAGTAGAGACAATGATGATACAAAAATTAATTAATATTCTACATTTTATAACGATTATATTCATTATATTTTTTTAAATACTGTATGTATTTGAACAATTCATTAATAAAAAACCGTCCAACAAATGAAAATTTTTTTATTTTTTTAAATATCGATTAGTGTTAAAAAAAAATCTTCTTTTAAACATCGAACAAGTTTAAATAGACAAACAAATGTTTTGAATCTTATTTTTACCTAATTTTCAGTACTTCGAAAGGTTATGTTTAACAGTAGAAGATAATAACGAAGTTTAAAATTGATTAGAAACGACGAAACGGATAAAAATATACTTTAGTTTGCATTATTTCATACCTAGAGAAAGTATCACACGTACACAGTTATTCGTGGGAAATATAATATTTTTTGTTATTCTTCCTTATCATCAAACAGAAATGCTTACATAATTCTTCACGTTAATATGGCTGTAGTCATTTGTAATGAAGAAAAAAAAAATAAGAAAGCGTGCGTGTATTTTGAGTCTAACTTATTTTAGATCTTTAACATGTATTCATTTTTAATATTTATGTGTTTCACGATCATCGGATGTGTTGTCAATACCGACGTCTGTCCTAAATCATCTTCAGAATGGTGTCAGTCATATCAAACAGCAAAAGCCTGCGGAGTACATATAATATATATATTTCATCCATTCTAATTGATTATATATGTAACTCTCGATTTTAGGTACTTGATCAATGTAAAACGTATGTTTGGGATAATGATAATGATCGTGTTAATTTTTCACTATATTATGAAACATTATGCCCAGATTGTCGTCAATTTGTTCAAACACGTAAGATAAAAATATAAAATTTTGTAAATAATAAGTAATAAAAAATTATTTCAATAGAAATATGGAATGCATATCAAAATGTATCGAGTATTGTTAATATTACATTTGTTCCATACGGTGTAAGTAAGTCATATTTCAATTATAAATAAATGATTAAATCAAACTTTAGAATGCGCGAGAACTTTTTCGTCCGGAAACTGGTCTATGGCAATTTTATTGTCAACATGGCTCAGCTGAATGTCTTGGTAATTTAATTCATGTACGTATATTAGAACGAATTATTTTCATTTTTTTGTTCTTATAAATTAATTATTTTCATTTTTTTTCTTTCAAAGAGTTGTGTACTTTATTTTTATCCAGAAACTCAACAACATGCGGTAAAAAAGAATATGATTCAATGAATATTGAATTTTTTGTTTTCTTTCTTTGATTTTGATATTTCGTTCATAGCCATTTATTTATTGTACCGAATCAAATGATGGTGATGTTCAAAAAGTTGCAGAAGAGGTGGATAGATCTGATAAATAAAAGTATGATATTGTAACATAAGTATTTGTTTAGTGTGCAAAAAAATTCAATGTAGATATTGACCAAATTAATGCTTGTACAAGTTCCAAACTTGGAAACACTTTACAACATAACAACGGACTATTGACAGAAGCACTAACTCCACAACACGATTTTGTACCATGGGTGACACTAAACGGAGTTAGTTGATAGTTTTTCAACTTGATGCAATTAATATTGTCTCATTTTCTTTTTTGCCTAGGAACATACTACACAAATTCAAGATGATGCAGAAGCCGATCTTGTTGCACTATTGTGCAAGACTTATAAAGTAAGTTATTGTTGATAATTATAAATAAATTCGATTTAAATACGTCTTTTTTATTAAGGGTTCAACAATTCCTGATGCATGCAAAAAACGGTGAAATATATTTGTCCAATATTTTCCCTCCCAAATTTACTACTTTTCTATTGCCTAAATTTACCTAAATTCCTGCCTAAATTTACTACTTCTCTATTGCTATTTTTTATTTTTTTATAACAATTAAACGAGTGATCAAAGGAAGTGTTAGTAGTCGAACAGTTTTCATAAAATAATAATCGACAATGAGAGAACATTTTCCATCATTTTTATAACTAAAAGTTATTGGTCTGTTTGTCTGTCCACATAGTAGCGTCTATAAAAAAGAAAATAATTATTATTATTATTTAGGATGATGTTATTTTCGAAATAAAAAAAGTCAACAAAAAGCAAAAATAAAAATATAATAATCAAACATTTTGAGGCGTTATTAATTTTTTGGACTAATATATGTAGATGAATGCAATAAAAAGCTAAAATCATTATAATAAACACAGAAAGATGGAGTGTGTGTGTACATTTTGATATTAGTTAAAAACATAAAACAACACCATTGTGACGGATGTCTCATAATAAATGAGCCATTCTATAGTACGTCGTCGGGTATATAAATATTAAATATTTTCGTGGGGATTTCAAAATTTCGTAAAATAATTAACTAAGATTTTATATATATGTTGACATAAAAATATCAAAAGTATAATGAATAAATTATTTATGTGGCAACTGAACAATATCTATATGATACTGAATTGCATACCGTAGTATTACGTATTATACTAGTGAAGAATATACATATATATATAAAAGAGCCAACTCCATCATTTATTAATGTGAGAACAACAGTCATTGATGCATCTAAACAAGATGTGCACGATGGAATTCTTTGTGGTGGATCATCATGTGATATTGATTTTGCATACATGAAAAGTTTATCGGATTTTTCTTGTGCTGCTTTTTTTTAGATAAAATTTTATATCTTTTACGGTTTATTTGTTACTTGATAATGACCGATGAAAGTCGGAATGATCTCATGTAGTTCAGCTGCTATAATTCTTAAAATTTGTTCTAAAAGTTTGCCCAATTAGTTCATCTAATATGAAAACATTTTTTCCCTCCTATCAACAACAACATATAATATTAAACGTCAAGGGAATGAGTGAAATCATAGATGAACGTTAGTTGGTTAATTTTTTTAAATGACAATATATTTTCAGTGAAATTAGAAGACAACTATATGGATTTTTGATTTCTCTAACGTGGTTAGATATACATCACATTTTAACTGGTTTTCTACTTCAATTGCATTACAATTTCTCATGTTCGTTCAGACAGACGTCGGAAATATTTCTATTCAAAATGAAACGCTTCGCTAGTATGTGTAATTCTCTTCAATCGAGTGTTTTTTCGAAAACAATTGTTGAAAATCTAAAAATGGTGGAAATAAATTCAACGATTATATTAAACCATGGTGAATAGAGAAAACTTTGATTATCAATATTCTTTGATGGTCAAAGGACAACATTGTTCTTGTAGAAGCATATGTGAGTGAGAGAATTTAATATTAGTGAGCATAGCATTGTGAACACACACTATCTTTTCACACAAGTTGCTTATTGTAATTTAAGATATGTATGTGATAGTCATAATTTACATATGATTCAACTTAAACGAATAAAAAAGATAGATTTGTATTATTTTTTGCAACACGTTTATCTCAAACACAAATAATTTTGTAGGAAAATTTTTCTAGAAAAGAATACGTTTTAGACATTGTCAATGATCATATAAAGAAATGAAAAACATTTTGAAATAAATAATTCAGCGTCGGTCGTCTGTCCATTTGGATATTCATTGTTTAATCCTTTAGTGATAACAGTGATAAATTACAGAGACAGATATTCATATTATTTATCACGGTGAACTTACATGGCGCCTTTTCTTCTGACGCTTTTCTGTTGAGGTTGCCTTTTCTGAAACGCTGTAGGATACTGCGTGTCTTGTGTTCGAACGGGTATGATTGAGCTACATGTCTCGGTGTTTATGTTTCTTTGTATGTGTTCTTTTCTAGGTCGGATCTATATTCTTCCACTAGTGTATGTGTTTTCCTCATTGAGCATATTCTCTTTAAGGTAGAGTTATGTATATCCGGCCAGATCAGACCCATTCTTATTATTCTTTTCTTTTTATTGATCTGACCTAACCAGCCTCATCTAACCTCAGATGCATATATTCTCTATATAAACGCAATGTTAGTTTATATTATATTACGAATGCGAATGCTACTTCTGTGAAAACTAAATTTTCAATGTTCATGTATTTGACATGATATGTTATTATCGCAAAACTGGAGGTTAACAAACGTATTTTAAGGATCATCATAGTTTATGGTTATTCTATACACGATGATTTATGAAAATATTCGTCGTCGTCAAGAAACGTTTCCATTAAAAATAGAAACATTACTGGGAATTGTCTTTCGTTTAAAAACTTGAATGAGTTGAAGTTAATGATGTTGGTAAAAATGATGTAACATCTTACCATATTGTCAATTCAAGTGTTATTCTACATCTTGAGAACAATAATTTTTCATTTTTTTCATTTTCGAATTTTTTGCGCACTCAAACTGATTGAGTTTATATGGAAAAATCTTGGAGACGAAAACCGTAATAAGGTTCAAATTTTGGCTAAATATCCTAACTGTCTATGATCTACAATATAGACAGTCCGAAAACAAAGTCGGAAATGATCTCCATTGTGACTGTAACAGACTTTGGGTATTGGATCAAATACTCCAGCTGATCGACCCCCCCCCCTCCCCATAGTGTAGTTATTTGTACAAAAACATTTTACATTTTGTAACGTTCTCATTGTGTCATACAATCAATCAAAGTAATGGAATGGATTTTTCGATAAAGTTTATAACAGAATACTCGGATTATTCTGGAGACGAACAATCAGTTGGATGTTCTTTTCGTGTTGTTGCACATGGTACAGTAACCTTTCATCTTTTTCATATTCATTTTTTTTTTTATCATATTCTGTGAAAAAAAAAGTTGCGTTTTGCTTCTTGGTTATATGGCATACACTTAAATGTGATGTTTATTTTTCTGTGCATGCACTTAAAGAAAGTCTGAAAGATACGAATAATGTTATCTATTAGTCGATAAAATTTATTAATCCATTTTAAAGAATGTTGAAATCAAGAAACGCGTTGACTTATTCGTTATTAACCGGTTTATTCCTATCTTCATGGACAGATATAAATGGAATATTTGCTGAATTACCTCAAATTGTTTTATATCAACCAGAAAGTTGGGCATTAGGAGCTAATTTGGCATTAGTTACAAATTTTGGAAATATTGCTCCATTTGGATTGATATTATTCAAATGTCTATCAAAACGACAATTCAATCCTGTTCCTTTGAATTACATCATTATTATTATTGGTATGGTATCTTGCCTTCTTCTTGTGTTCTTTTGGCATTATACAATTCAAATTGGGAGTCGGTATCATAGTGTAGCACTATTATCATTAGCATTCTTTCTATCATTATTAGATTGTACATCGAGTGTAACATTTGCCGATTATATACAACATTATCGGCAAGAATATACTAGTACACTATTTTTAGGTGAGAGTTTAACATCAATTATACCAAGTTTATTAGCAGTAGCTCAAGGTAATGGACGTATTTACTGCTCTAATAGTACCACAACTAATACAACTATTGTTGTCTATGAGACTGCTCGGTTTTCTATATCAATTTATTTTCTTTGTTTATTTTTTCTACTAACATTATCATTGATCTCGTTTATCCTTTTACAATGGACATCATTAGGAACGAGAGCTCGTTCAAATCATGATAAAATCAGTACAGAAGAGTCACCGTCAGATAATAATGGAATGAAAATGACGTTATCATCCTATATTCTATTTTCAATTTTGTGTGTTTACACAAGTGGTATTATTTTCGGTGTATTACTTTCGATTTCGACTTATGTTCTAATACCGTATGGTCAACGAATATTTTATTTAGGCACAGTGTTGTCACCGTGGATGTTAGTACTCGTATGGATATTAGGCATGATTAAACCGTTAGTACAGAAAAAATTTGTTCTACTGTTTGTTCTATTAGGAACTTTAGTATTTATAATCGATTTATTTGTTTGTGTCAAAAGTCCTTGTCCACCGCTTATTGACACTAAAATTGGAAATTTTTTAATTCTTTTTGTATGGTTACTGACGTACGTTTGTTTAGGATATCCACGTCTAGTTATTGCTAATTATTTAAGAACATATTCGCAAGAAGCCATGTTTTGGTTTGGTGTTTATGTTCAGTTGGGTGCTCTTGTCGGATCTGTCATATCTTATATTCTTATAGAAATCCTCAAGGTATTTCGAGAACGTTCGCCGTGTGAGAATGTGTGTTATTAACACTATTGTTCAATCATAAATACATGAGAAGTAGATTAACTAACTTTTGGTCGTCAATATTTTTCCCGTTCAGTCACAATCCATAGACTGGACCACTAGCAACTAAATGGTATCGCTTTATGTAAAATATGCTAGATAATCCGAATATGTGTAAACAAAAGAATGGAGATATTTAGTGCTTAAGGAGAAGTAGTAAACGTATTTGTACCCATTTCTCAACGAGACCGGGGCTAAATGTAAAAATTTTGATCGAAGATACAATTTGAAAAACTCTATAGAATTGTGGCAAAATTTAGAGAAAAAATGTGCTTTTCTCTAAGGATGAGAGTTTATTGAGAAAACTACTTAGCTTATTTTTCACCAGTCATCCATCCATGATTTTAATGTGTAGATGGCGCTTTCTTTCAAAATAAATATTGTATTCATGACCAGCATGCAAAATTGAAATAAATAATGCTCTCAGCACAAACTGTCATATTTATTCTATAAAAAAATCGATCTTTGAACAGATATGTGTAATCAACCATGAAATACGAATATGATGGTGTTGGTAAAAATATAGTTTTAATTAATGGGCCACTTATTCTGCCTTAGGGTTCATTTTTAGTTAAATACAAACATTACTGCGTAATTTAATCTGTATACTTAAATCATACATTATCTGTCTCAATTTTTGCATGCTGGTCATGAACACAACATTGATTTTGAAAGAGAGCGCCATCTACTACATCAAAATCGTGAATGACTGTTGAAAATAAGCAGCTCAGTACACTTTCATTCTTGGAGAAAAGAACAATTTTCTCTAAATTTTGCCACAATTCTATAGAGTTTTTCTTATTATTAGTTATTGTATCTTCGATCAAAATTTTTACATTTTTTTACGTCTCTCCATGGGAAAATTTTAGTATATAAAACGACGTGTGCACCAGAGCTCCGTATGGACTCAGATTTTTCAGTCCAGTCCAGTCCATGGACTAAAAAGATCTACTCCAGTCCAGTCCGAGTCCATGAAAAATATTTTTTTGAGTCCAGTGCAGTCCAGTAGATTGAGTAAACAGTCCAATGGACCGTCCATTGGACTACCGAAGTTTGCAAAGGCTTTGCAAACTTCGGTATGCTGCAAGAGCCATTAGTAGCACGACCATTGCCATGAAACATTTTATTACAGTACACACAAAAAGTGTTAAAATCTGTTCGAGAGCATCAGTGATACTCTACAGAGACGAAACAATACGAAATAAGAAAATAACAAAAAAGAATTATTTTCTTTCCAATAAACTGTTCATCCTCTTAACTGAACGAATTAATAAAACATTATCAACTTGCTCTGGATTTATACTTGATCGCCGTTCCGTTACGACAAACCCAGCAGAGCTAAATTGCCTTTCTACTGCGGCCGTTGCAGCGGGTATGGAATGTATTTTCCGGGCTACTTTTGATAGAATTGGATATGTTCTTTGATTTTCATGCCAAAATTCAAGTGGATTTATTGGCAGCCGGTCTTTATCAACTTTTAATGCTAAATACAGATCCAGTTCGTCTAATCGTCGATAACTATTATTTTCTGTTTCACATAATTTGTCTTCATCATCTGATACGCTTTCATCTTTTTCGTCCTCCCTAGTCGAGACTCCTGATTAATCTCCCGCAGGAGTCCTGGAAAATAGTCCTACAGGAGTCAGCAGGAGTCCTGTCACGGGATCCCGGCAGGATCCTCTGTGGAGTCATGGAGGATTTTTAAGGGATTCAAGAGGGATTCCTCAAGACTCTCACAGGAGTTCTATGGGATTCTTAAGGAAGTCCCTGGGGAGTTCTCGGGGATTTTCAA